GCAAGAAGTCTTGGTAGGTTGGACGGTGGCAACATGCGTTAACTTCGGTCTGCTGTCGTTTCTGCTGTCTCCCATCTCAACATCTATCATGCCCTGTGTACATTGAGCATACGCAAAGATGCAAAACGTTTAAGTGGCATGCCGTGAGACTTGTCACACGGTCTCCCAAGCCTTAAGAACTTCGAGCGCACATCACCGCAAGAAGTCTTGGTAGGTTGGACGGTGGCAACATGCGTTAAGTTCGGTCTGCTGTCGTTTCTGCTGTCTCCCATCTCAACATCTATCATGCTCTGTGTACATTGAGCATACGCAAAGATGCAAAACACTTAAGTGGCATGCCGTGAGACTTGTCACACGGTCTCCCAAGCCTTAAGAACTTCGAGCGCACATCACAGCAAGAAGTCTTGGTAGGCTGGATGCATGCAGAGTAGAATTGCTGCTGCAGTCTGCATGGTGCCGCAAGTCTGTAAAGAACCACAAGCTAGTTCGTGCCTGGTAGAGAGACCACAGATCCCCTTCGAAGCACCGCAGAGAGGCCCCATCAAAGGCTACATGGTGCACGTGGACGAAGAGCCTTTGTTGTGGAAATGGACAAAGGATCGCTTCCTGCGAATGGCCACGACAATTAAACTAGATCGCCATAGCTACAAACATGGTACGAGGTCCCATAACAGAGCCCAGTGGCAAGAGCTTGATGCTCGAGCGATTTGATTCGGGCGACAGTCGCAAGAGGTGAACCCACAAAGGGCCTGCGGTCACAAAACAGCTCCCCGAGCCCTTCTCCGTGTGTGTTTGTGTAAATCATACATATACATGTGTACATGTATGTGTGTATGTATATATATATGTAGGAATGTATGCATGTCTGTCTGTCTGTCTGTCTGTCTGCCTGCCTGCCTGCCTGCCTGCCTGTATGTATGCATGTATGTATGTGTATTTATATATATATATAGATCTCTCTCTCTCTCTCTCTCTTTGCATATGCAAATGTATATGTGTATGTATGCGACTATGTCAGTATGTCTATTATGCACATCTACATCTAGGATCCTATCAACCCATAAGCTATGCAGCTGAAACATCGGAAGATGGAACTCAAGCCAGACGTCAACCTCGAGAAAACCGCATAGGGGACAAACCCGAGGTGCACGTCAGCTAGCATATTTGCAAGTAGAGGTGTAGACAATATATCGGCAGATTCAGAATAGTACCCAAAAACACTTGCAAGTGCACTTTCTACGGATACACGAAACGGATGAATGCGTGAATAGAAACACGATCAGTGTGATTCCCGATTATTTACCGTTCTTCATTGTCTGCATAGGTCATAGGGTAATTGCTTACTCAACTAGCTAGCTGATCCGGCTCTCTCTCGCTTATTGCTAGAGATATGTAGGGATGCTGTTTGGGCTCGATAGGTGTCTTTTCTGACTGCTGGTCAACTGGTTCGTTCCCTTGCTACGTAATGTGTGCCAGTGTGTTTGGATCAGTTAACCATGCATACCGGTAAACATGCGGTCACTGTCCGTATATGATATGTCCGTCTGTGCGAGTGCATGCTAAAATGAGTCAGCAGGTGTATGGGTCCACAGACGTGTACATGTGACAGTGTCAATCTGTGCATTGATGAACCTATGCACGTCCGCAGATGCATGCATATAGCACGTAGGAATGCATCTACATCTGCCATGTACAAATGCATGAGGAATTGTGTGTAGACAACTATGTACAGATGTATGCGGCGCAAATGCACGAATGGAAATATACGTACGGATGCATACATGCTATTGATGAGGTTTGTGGTGAGACTGAGAAGGACTGAAACAAACAAAGAGACAAGGCGGCAAGCAGCGAGCGAGAGAGAGAGAGGGAGAGAGTTAGAGCGAGAGACACCAAGAGAGAGGTAGAATTTGGGAGGAGTAGAGACAAAGAGGAGAGGGCATGCGGATGTATGATGGTGTAACATTGTGCAATCTCGCACACTGACGATTTTCTACATGCATATCATGTGCATACATGTAGGTGTATGTGCGAATACGTACGGCTGTAACAGTGGTGAGAGCAAATGACATCGAGCTGAGGCGCCACGTGACAGGTCGAAGCCCTGACAGATATCGGCCGCAAGCAGATCCTGGCATTGCAAGGGACAGAGGACGCGGTCACGATTGAAGTGCATAGTACAGAGGTGCGCTCACCCAAAGTGGATGCAACCAGGCGTTCAGTATCTTATTCCGGCAGGGCCTGCATCTGTTTGTCAGCATCGACAGATTGACGAAGGTCGTGCAGCCAGAGCCAGGGAGCCAACCTCCGTACAGCAAAACTAGGTATCAGGCATCAAAACGAAACGCAATTCTTGCCAGGATGCAATGCAAGGTGCTTCCAAGCACGATGACTCATAATTACTCAAACCAAGGAGCTGCCCTGGCTTTTCCAAGTGTTCCGCGGCCAGGTCGGTCGGAGGGCAAATCCTCTGCAAGAGGCCTGCGCAGGACGCTACAGCAGCCCGGATCAAAGCATCAGCACTGCTACAACGGCCCCCTTGCCCGCGCCATCCCCTAAGTCGCCTCTTTGGGCGTCTTCGAGGAGCACCGTCCGCAGGGGCGTGTGGCGGCAGGTGAGCTGCTCCAAAGCCAGGGCCAGTCGTTGGATGTTCAGGCCTGGGCCCTCCAAGCGATACGCGAACTGGATCCCGTAAGTCCCGGTCCCGGGCTGCAAGCGTTCCTCAGCGCAAGGGACATGAAGGGCTTCGAGTTTTGCAAGTGATGGCACTGGGGATCCGACCAGCAGCCAGAAGCGCTCTTGCCCGAAAGATGCAGGAGCCTCGCAACCTTTGGTGTATGCACTGCACTGAAACAGATGCATCTTCGATAATGTTGGCACGAGATTAAGTGCTAAGAGCAGCTTAAGTCAGCCGGGAAGCTGGCCGAATCCTCCACCTGCAGCTGACGAGCATCCTCTGACGCTATCGGAACGCCCTCGCCATCGACTTTCTCTGCGATCCTGCCCGTGCAGAGACGGACTTCTGGGTTTTACGAGACAGCACCGTCCGACGCTCCTCGCCGCAGTCCGAAGCGTAAAGATATCCTGCCTCGGGCTGCGATGAAGAGGAAGACTTTTTGAGAAAAACGCACTTCGACATCATTCGCAGCAATAAGGCAGGATGCAGAGACAGCTGCAGCCGCCCCTGCAGGCGCATTGCGGCCATCGACTGGCCGCCGAGCCTACGTATGCTTGTGAACTAGTATAGACTATGTAGTCAAAGATGCGAAGACACCTAGCAACGGGTCAAGGACCTCCCCTCCAACATGCAGGTGGGCCGCTCAAAAAAGTCGTCGTCTACACCCAGGTCAGCGGAGCTTGGCATTCCCAGAGCTTCTTTGAAGCAGACCAGAACATGTCGCTCCATGTCTGTGGCAGGTTGGCGACGATCTGCGTGGTGTCTTCTTGGAGCAGCGGCTTCCAAGGATTTCGCCAGGAGGTCGCGATCTATCTTGCCACTAGATGTCAGCGGCATCTGTGAACGAGTGACAATCGTATCAGGCACCATGTAGGATGGCAGGTGTTGTCTGAGGGTTTCGCGCAATGCGACCAGGTCGACGGACTGGGGCACAACGAAAGCCACCAGCCTCCGTTCCGAAGTTTGCTGGGAAACCGCCAGGACGACGGCTGCAGCCACGGGAGTGGCCAGCTTGGCTTGGCAGCAAGCCTGCTCAATCTCGCCCAGCTCCACCCGGTGACCCCGCAGCTTCACCTGAAAGTCTGCCCGACCAAGGAACTCCAACACCAGCTCCGAGGCGACCAGCTCGCCGCCGAGGCCGCGGAAGCCGCCGAAGCTCCGGGGCACAAAGCGCACCAAGTCACCAGTCCGGTAGGCCCTGGACGTCTGAAAGGCCCCACCGAACTGAAGACATCCAGCATCCCGAAAGCTTTCCGCTGTGAGCTGCGGCTGGCCGATGTATCCCAGGGCCACGCCTGGAGCACATCGTCTCACAGCTGGACATACATGGAACTACATGCAGTACGGCTTTTGTCTTACTAGTATCCTCGTAACAACACCCAACATACCCGCAACAATATTCCTGACCAGCCTAACAGCCCTGCTCAGCTCTTGTAAGCCCTGCTTGACATAGTCCGAGAGTGCTCTTCTTCGCTCACTCCTTTCTGGGCTCTAGTATGCTTCCTGCTCCGCTCTACCGTGCCACGCCTTCGCCTGCGATGTACAGCTGCCCGGCCATGCCTGGCAAAGCTACGGCCGCCGAGCGGCCACTCTCGTCCAAGACATAATACCTCAACGGAGCAGCATTGATTTCGACTTTCCCAATGCACCACTCATGGCCTCACCCCATTGAGCTGAGATGCTGGTGATTCCAGATAGGACTGCCGTAGGGCACGGAGCGCCACTTGGGATCCACTTCAACCACATCGAAGAAGTTGGACCAGACTGTGGCCTGTGGATTGAGACATACTATCAAGCGTATGGAACCCTGAACCCTAAATCACTAAACCCTAAACCAATGCCACTCCGAACTCCGAGCTCCTCTGTAGCCCCACCCAGCGCTACGATTCGGGCAGCAGTGGCAGAGCGCAAGGCCCCAACCTGCACAGCACTCAATTTACGACGTCCCACGTTCCCTGAATAGCAAAGACACACGAGGAGTCAAAGCACATTGGACGACACTCTTGCTCCCCTCTTCCCGGAACTACTCAGTCAAGAGGCAAGCCCCAGGGGTACCCAGTCGCCACTGAGAAAAACCGTGCGGATGTCTCGAAAGTCTTCCACACGCCTTAGCACGGTGCTGACAACCTCAAGGGGTTTTAGATCCTAAACCCACAGACCGGCGGCCAACAAGTTTCAGGCAGCGAAGATGTTTCAAGGCCAGGAAAGCCGATAACTTCAGCCGCGGCGCTCCAGGAGCTGGAGCACTGCAGGTGCTGAGTCCCAGAAGCCTGAGCATCGAGCCATTTTCAAAGACGCGCCCTCTGTCCGAAATCCCGGGCTTCCCAAAACAAACGCCAGGCAAAAGTGTCTTGCCGCACTTTGTCGCATGCTTTTGTACATCCAATCCAGTCGAGGCATGCCATCTAACGAGTTCTGTTGCGATCTGCGCGGACGGTTCTGATCATCTCCACCAAGAGGGTCTGCGAGTTAAGTCAACAAAGGAATTCAAAAATCTTACGAAGACCTCCCAGAGGGTGCTTTTGTAGCCGGTTTCACAAAAGCAAACAGCCATCTTCACAACGACCGACACAGAGAGCTGAAGCTAGCGGACCACAAGCAAACCCTTCTCAACGATGACCAATCGCAGGCTAGCAGCTTGCCCTTGGCAGTTGCCGCCGCAGCTCAGTCGGGGAGGAAGCTCCGAGAAGTATCCTGCATTAACAATCCCACGACTGAGAGTGAAACTGCTTCGGACGAGCTTCCTGCCGCCGGCTGCCAGGGTCCCAAACATATCGTAGCAGGACAGGTCAAAGCCGATGGATGTCACAAACAGCAGCACGTCTGACTCCTGAGCGCCACAAAATCTCCCCTGGGTACCACTCCTGCCCTGCGTGGACATGACGCAGTGGAATGATTGTTCTTCTGAAATCTCTGGCTGCAGTCTGCACTGCTCCTGTTGTAAGTTTTGCTGCTGGAAATCTTCCTGGACAGGACCAGACATCTACTCGCTCTCCAGGTCCTGACTCCAGGGGTTTGAGAGCTACAACGCAATCTATCAGCCTTCCCCGAGAAGAACGCAGTCAGCGGTTGCCTTACCCGCTTCCGACGCTCTGCATCTTTGCCTCTGCTCCGCTTCCCCCCTCTTCCTCCTTCCTACTCCTGTTGCATCTTGATCCCCTCCGCCTGCACTGTCTGCGGAGTGTGATGTCCAATACGGGGACTTTAGCCAATTTTAACCCATGCACAGCTTGGACAGACTTGCCGCGAATAGCATGCACATGCTCTTCCCAAGCTGCAGCATCTGCTTCAACCATCCTGTTCTTTAAAAGGTGGCGGCAGCATCTGGCATCTAATGGCTTTCCCTGCCTGCTGTACCGACTATCAGAGTGAATAGAGAAGATTTGAATGCCCTCGGTCCTTGATATCATAGACCGTGTTTACCCATTCCTGATTCAGAAAAAGCTGAACAGCACGCAAGTAGACACAGGAAGGCAGCACCGCAGTCATAGGTCAACTGCATTCGCAAGTTTAGCTGTACCCGCGATGGTAAAATCCAAGGCTCAATCAAATGAACAATGGATCGGTGGGAGACAGCAACCCCTTTCGGCTGTCCAGTTGAACCTGATGTGAAGATGACCTCGGTGAGGCCAAAGGCTAACGATGGCTGCCATGGCGACGAGCAGTCTCTTCCCATCGCAAGCCCAGGCGGCATATGCCAGCTGCTGCGTTCTATCGCTCTCGTCTTCGACGTGCCTGTGGGTCACAGCCGTCCCCGATACACTTCCAGCAATCTGCATACTGTGGTGTTGATCATCTACCAGACCCGCCTGGGCAAAATACCCCTTTGAAGGTGAGCAACACCGGGCTGCTTCGCGATGAAGTTCAAGCAACTGGTCAGCCACGCCTCCAACCGAACTCGACAAAACACTGTGCCGCCGCCAATCTCTGCCTGTTACTGGGACGTCTGGACTAAACAGAGTCGGCATCTTCCAAGCTTATCATGCCTCAGCGCTGCCCTGCTCAGCAGCCGTGACGAAGCCTTCAGCTTCCACGGTCAGTTGGAAGATTGGGCCTGACGAAACCCGACCCAGGCTTCATGCGCGTCTTCCACATCGCAGAAAACGAGGGCCTCGCATGGCCTGAGCTCCTTCTGTTGTGTTCTCCTCCGGCATTTGCTGACAGCTCCGAGCTTTGACATGCATTGAAACTTCTTGGACTCTTCAAGGCCACTTGCTCAAAGCTTATGGCCTCGATAAGCTTTCTCGAGGCCACCAGCAGACCAGCCCCAGCTGTGTGCAGCATCACCAGCACCTGCGCACACGGCCGCAAAAGCATGGCCTGCCAAGGAATCGACCCGCATGAGGTGAGTGCAGCGCAGCCGCCCACGGACTTCCAAGCAACAGTAGGGCGAGACACCCGCTTCGCGGGGAGCTTCTCATCACAAGGCAGGTAGCCCTGACCTGCCTTGGAAAGGAAGCCAAGTGCCGCAGCAACAGGTGGTTTTGCCAGGCCGCGGGTTTAAACGGAAAGAAAAAGTCGCTGTCTCCTGATACCAAGGGGCTTCCATTGCTGCAAGGGCGAGGGCGACAGCATGTCGATTGCGTGGGAGCCACAAGGCAACCGGGCCGCTCCCTGAGAATTCCGTCTTGACTTCACTCCTTTACCCGCCAACTTCCCCAAATTTCCCCGACTTCCGGTCGGCCCTGTCGCCTTGGAGCTTCTTTGCAGCGGCATTTCGCAGCGCCGCGGCCAAGGCTCCGCTGCAGCGCAGCAGCGAGGCATAGGTGACGACCTGGCCGGGCACACATGGCACAAGCAAAAAAACACGTTGTGAGGTCCACCGTCCCAGCCGGCTCCTCGACTGCGACATGGGCCTGCTAGCGAAAGCAAGCTCGCAAGTGCGAATTCGCTACGGCGTATGGAAAGCTCAGTCCTGTGGAAGAGTTGATGCACGCGAGCGTATCACTTCGTGCAGCAAAAGCCTCAGCTCTCGCCCGGGTTTTTGCTGCTCCATGCGTGCCGTATCCCACCCAGCCAAGACCCAATAGCGCGGTCGAGCGGCCCATCGCCTCGGCTCCACTCGCACGCTCCTCTCACCGCTGCTCATGGCCGGTGGCTATGTGCCTGCAAAGGAATGCTGGGTCTGGTTGAAGTCGTGCACCAGCACATGCTGCACGCCCTGAGCCGGAGCAAGTGAGGACGAAATCTCAGAGCAACACCGGCAACAGTAAATTTCACATTCAGAGATCAGGAAACACGCGGGCTTCGAGACGGCGATAGAAGTCGTCAGACAAGATGCCCAGCGTCACAAGATGCAAAAAGCAGACCGACCAGCCTCATTGCCCCATCTCTGTTCTTCAACAAAACCCGAGAACATGTCCATCAATGACATGCGAGTGCCCTCAATCCCGAGCCTTCAAGGCAAATCGTCTGTTCGCAAATTCCCGATGTGAGAGTCAAGGTCGATAAGATGACTTTGGATTGGCGGTTCTTCAGAAAGGAAGACACTTCTGCCTGGCGAGGTTTGCTTGCCCTGCTCGGGAATCTGATCCGTGAACATGCCTGTTTGCTGCCACACCTGCACGATGGGAAATCTGGCACGCGCACTTGGAGCTTCATCTTGCCAGCTTTCGCACATGTCTGTCATGTCTCTTGGTGGTGGTGGTCCTGGACAAAAATTGTGACGACTGACCCCCCCCCTTCGACGATTCGATATGTAGGGTTCTAGGAGGTATCCCACAACGAGGTCCAAATATCCTCTAATCCTGTCAAACAAGGCATGGACATGGCCCTCTCAGCCCGCCGGACATAGTTGTTTTAGACGATACATGCCGTCACACAGTCAAACACTTCAAGCTTCAAAAGCCACATGCCCCAATCACTGTCTGCCAAGATCTGCCAAGCAGATTGGAGTTCGCGCTGTGTTGGAACGGGCGTTTCTGAGCGGCGAGTCGGCTGCACGCTAGTAACAGGGCATCGGGCCTGGGGACAGACAGCCAGCTCGGAGATGGGAACATCGCCTGCCCGTCACGTCTCTGGAAAGGTCTTTTAGATCCGCTTCATGCACATCTGCGTGCCTTTACCATGGTCGTAAGCCTCCAAGAAGCTTTCGAGAGCTTTGGCAAACACCCAGGCCTTCAAGCATAAGAGGACTGTCTTCATTCGTCGAAGGGCGCAGAGCAGTAGGTTCTAGACTGTGGAGTTTCCGGGCTTCGGAGACAGGCAGCTGTCCAAGCGCCTTGTTACCATCGAGTTGCCGAAATCGCACTTGCACTTTCATCGCATCACGCCTGCGGTCGATAGTGAAACAAGGGAACGAAATTTGAATCACGAGGGTCCAGGCCTCCCGGTGAGGTGCAGCTGCAGCGGATTTGCCACGGCTTCCAACTCCTGGGCTTCTGCACCTGGCCCCAGCAACTGTTACGACGTGAGAACCAGAGTCTGCCAGAGCAAATCCCTGCAGACTTCTGCAGCGAAGACGCAGATTGCGGCAAATCCACTGGCGCCGTCGGAAGTCGGCGCCGACGCTCCCTCCTGCGAGCAACACAGCTTTCAATGCACGTCGGCTTTTGTAGACAATGTGGAACGGGTCCTTGAGGGACAGCAGCGCTTGCTGTACACATGCTTCCACGTCTTGGAGTGACACAGAGCCGTTGCGGTGCAAGGACAGCAACGGCACCTGACATTTCGGCAGTTTATCTGGGGGAAGCACTTGAACACTCAAATGCTTTGCTGGGGTCCTTGCTTCTTTGCCGGTGAAGCAGCATGTCAGTTGTGTAGCGTCACCTCAGGAACCAGCATGCTGTAGTTTTTGCAGGACCTGCCACACATCCCGTCCACTGTGCAACTTGCAGATGCATGCCGATATGTGCCAAGAGGCAGCCCGTCAGCCGCCACGCCACAGCTGCCACGGCAGCTGAAAGAAGTGCCTGGGAGCAGCAGGCCTCAGCCAGGGAAAAGCTGTGCTTTCAGATGGCCCTGCATTTCCTCGCATTTCCTCGTGCCTCGAAAGGCTCGAGGTTTCTCCATGTGTCGACGGTCTCTCCAGGCGCTGCTTCGATGCCCGCCGGGCTGGCTGCCGAGGCCTGGACATGGACCCCTTTGGCTCAAGCTTCAGCGGATTTCAGCCACACTCTAAGCTTGGGCAAGAGCGTCTGGGCTTGCCCAGAAGCACTCGCAGCTCAGCGCCGCCATCAGCCCGAACCATGGAGCTTGTCTCGAACGACGGGATTATGGAGGAAGACTCTGTGCCGAATGGTCACATCTATTACAGACTCTGATTGATAACTTCATCGAAAGGCAGAGCCAAAACCACGAAACCGGAGACCTGTTCTAAGCACCAGCAGCTCGCAGACACTGGCCGAGGAGCCGTCTCGACGAATGGGTGATGAGCGAGACCGGCACATGCCGGGGATTTTTTCCGCTCACGCGGCAGTTGGAGAATGCTCTCAGAACTCTGCATGTCCAGGATACCTTCAGCCAAGAAAGAAGAAGGTAGCAGCTCGACCCAGTACACTGAATATCCTGACTGAATGTGCAGGCCCATGTCCATGCAGGCAGGTGTCCGCGGGTAAGGAATGACATCGCGGATGTTTTCGACGCCGGTGGTCCTCATCAACAAGTCAGCTCAAAGTCAAGACAGCCTGCGCATGAGCATCAGATGCTCTCAAGCGCAACGTATACTGCAGGCAAGCGACAACATGATCAGCCGTTCGAAACCCAGGCCAAAGCCAGAGTGGGGCACGGAGCCATAACGTCTCAGGTCTCTGTACCTTTGTTCCGCAGCTGTTTTTTGCAGCAAACCACAGCGCAAAGTGGCAGACAAATCCGGCTGCGGTCGATATAGCTTCGTACTTCAGATCAGATTGCCAAAACGTGCTGCGAGACCTCTTGCCGGCGGGACGCCACCAATAGTCCTGTGGGTTGAGGTCCATTTCGGTGATGCGTCTGTCCAACACATCCAGCCTAGCACTTCCAACGTCCTCTTGCAAGTGAGTGCAGAACCTGAGGAAGCGAGCCTCTCTTCGCGCTGGGAACCTCCAATGACCTGTGCGTAAACACGTGATCAAAAAATCCACGATCGCGTGCCAACGTCACCACGGCCTCCCCTATCGCTGGTGCAAGGACATCCATGGCAGCGACGGTCTTGTTGTCCTCGCGTTGAGCACAGCCAGCATGCACCAGTTCGTCCCACAACCGACCATCTGAAGCAGCGGAGGCCTTTCGCCATGACATCGCCTTTCAGTCCCTACCGCCTGAGCTAGGCCTTCTCCGTTGACCACTTCGGCCTGTCCTCGTTGAGTCTCATGTAGAAAGCCTTTATGTCCTCTCGGGTCTCAGAATTGAAAAGGAAGCTGTCATGGGCCGGGCATGCACTTGCAGATGAGTTGCCTTCGGGTAGTTGTACACGACTGTTGGCTTCTTGAAGACCTGGCACTCTCCACACCCGCAGCCAGCACCCAGCACGCAGCAGGTGGAGGCTTTTCCGCTGCCTTCTCCGCCAGATGGCGTTCATGCTCAGAGCCGAGGTCCATGCCCCACTCGACTGGCACCTTAAAGATTTCAGGAGGAGCTCTCCTTTTTGGTGACCTTTTTAAACTCTCACAAAAAGGGCCGGCCTGAAAGTTGGCCTTGGGCGATTCCTTGAGCAAGATGTCTATCGCCTGATGAGATCGCCCCGTGATCGCCCTTGCGAACCGGTGGGGTCAAAGCATAGGGGGCCTCCGTGTAGGTGACCCGAGCAAACGGCTCCGCTAGCAAGTTCTCGAGTCGCTTTATCAGCCTGCAGCTTCTGCTCCGGAGCTCTCCTTCTCTGAAAGGTCTCATCCTCGGAGAGACTAGTGACTATAGGGCTTAGCATCGTACCCTTTCTCGATCTTGTCCTCAAAAAAATCCAGGTCCTCTCCATATAACAGGCGTTCATCACGAGAGCAAGACTTCCTATCGGATGTCTAGGGGGTGCAACTACGCTCTCAGGCCTGCTTGTGGTTCTCCATGACATAACGGACACAGTATTTCAAGTAGTCCTGGCAGTACACCGAGCTGCATGAGTAGCTCGCTCTCTCGCTCTGTATCCCCTGGACCTCTGCCACGTTCATGTCGTCATGGATGTCGGCAAAGGCGAGCTCGGGTTCGATCATCCAGAACTCTGCCAAGTGCCTGGCTCGCCCCGGGCCCGTAAACAGCCGCTTTCTCTTCTTCCCGGAGCGCAGCGCGTAGCGGGCGTTGGGGTAACGGGAGGCCTGGAGGTGTGAGAGTTCTCGGCCCGGAAGGTCGGTCCGAAGGTGTAGACCTCGCCAACAACGGGATGTCCCTTTTGACGAACGCGCTAAAGTTCCTGTCTATTTGCAGGCCTTGGACAAGGCGCAGCAGTAGTTTTCCACAGACAGCCTCAGAGTCAAAGGAGATGTGTTTAAGAAAATTCTTCGACGAATCAGACAAGACAGCATGGCAGAAGCGGAGTGCCGGGACCCCCCGCTGCCCGCTGACCGTCAGGAACGCGGGCTTTTGGAAGAAGTCTTTCGTGTAGTCAAACTGCAAGCAAGGAACGCTCAAAGCAAAGATGCACAAGGATGCTGAGCTGATGCGGCTAATGACCACCGGCCCGTCACCCCGCTTCCCCACCAAGCGTTAGGCGTTAGGACAACTTTTCCGGAAGGCCTTGCCATTGACCATGGGAAGCGGCTTGCCATCCTTCTCAGCTTCGGCCATCATGGTCGTCACTTGGAACCTTATTCGACACACCAGCCCTGTACAGACAGGTTCTTGACGTTTGCCATCTGCCATGCACAACATCTCAAGCCTCAAGCGACGAATTAGCAAGAGGTCTGAGAACTGCACATCTCGCCGGCTCCCTCACAATCGGCAGCAGTGATCAACGGAGTGTGCACCTTTGCCGTCGCTTCGGAAGTCAGGCTTCCGAAAGACAGCTTAACCCAAGGCTGGCACGTACATGAATCCGTTCGACCTGGCAATGCTCTCTGGCCGGCAGGCACCCCACGAGACTACAAGCCTCCTAAAGCCGAGGCCTGAAGAACTCGTGGGTCGCGTACGCCAGAGCACTGCGTACTCGTGCGACCTCAGACTGTTCTTCTCTCTGGATATAAGCTCGCAGTTCGGGCAGCTGTGCACCAAGCACAGCCGATCAAATTCGACCGTGGTCGCAAATGCGCAATGGATCGCAAAAACCTGCAGCTTGCACAGACCGACCCGAAACTCTGCCAATGCAACTCACACATGTTCTGGGCACGGTGCTCATGGCTGTGTCCCTTCTTGGAGAGTGGATATTCCTGCAGAGGCGACGTGACCACAAGTCCGATTCTCCAGCCGTGCGTGTCGGGCGTTGAACATTTTTTCAGATTTGTTGGCAGCCTTTGCATCCACACCACCGAAGAGGATGACTTCACTTCCGTCTCCCTGACAAGGGCCAACGACAAAGCTGCAACACCAGCAGACGCAGCTTGGCTGACCGTCCTTCACCAGCACCTCAACTGCTTGCTTTCCACCGGGTGAGGCGACAACCTCTGCAACGGAACGGGGACCAGGACACTGCACAACGGCTGCGGTCGCGCCTCCCCTGTGCATTTCATCGAAGCTCCAGTTCCCACCTTGCCCTTGAGACCTGATGCGATGCATGGCATGGTCACGGATAGTGTCTCCCTAGAACCAGGTGAAGGGCTGTCGAAGCCTTTGGCGCCTGAGTCAATCACTACCTGCAAGCCAGACTGAATCCTGTGCGCTACACGAGTCACGCATCAGGACACTGTGGTAGTTGGCGGATGCTGGCGGCCTGAATGTCCAAGGGAGTGGACCCATCGTTTAGCTGGACGAACATGATCTTTCCCTTGTCTGCCTCGCATCGCTTCCGTCGCCACGGCCCTCAAGCTTGGCGGAAGGAAGCACAAACAAAGCCTCTCTGGCCGTCCGGACCCAGCCGCACACAGAGACCTCTCCGCGTCTCTGAACTGGACTGACCGACACAATAGCAGGGATGGACCGGGCAGCCTTCTTGCCCACGAGGCTCTTGCCCTGGTCCTCTGCGGCAACAATCCGCTTGATCTCCGAACGGCCACCAACGGCACTGCTGTAGCCTCGGTGAAAGAGAAAGAGCTCCAAACAATCGCAGTGTCACAAATTTCCATCTCCTATAAGGCGACGACGATCCTCGAAGGGCTGCTCTGCAGCCTCCCACGTATGCAAGTTTGGTTTTTCACAGCGCTTCCTGGCGCAGCGAGCGTTGGGCCTTCGGCTTCGCGCTGGGCGCGCTGGGCGCGGAGGCCGAGGCTGCCGAGGGCTTGGCGCCCTTGATCACCGCGGCGAAGGCCTCCCAAAAAAACACATTTCGCAGGGCCGCTTTTTTTTACGCACCGCTTGCAAGCGCTTCGGATCCTCCTGAGCCATGCAGGTGCCCAGCCATCGCTTCGTCGCCCGAGGCAGGGAGGTGGCCAGCCCCTTCCAGTGAGACTCAAGCTGAGAGGTAGCGCATTGCAGCGCTCTCTTTGCCGGCCTGCGACTGCAAGCTGTGCAGAGCGACGCTTAGGGAAGCATCCGCAATCGTAAAGCGCTGCCCGACCAGGAACACCTTGGTGCAAAGCAGCAAGCTTGCATGCTTCCGGAGAACTGTGAAAGCGCACGTTCTTCGTGGTCCAACGAATATGCCCCATATAGCATAGTGCACAAAACGGCTTGGACCGCTGTTCCTCCTGTCTTTGGACAGCATGAACAGGGCTCATGCCTGATCAAGACTATGATCCACAGCAGCATCTGCTGCCAACTGCCTTGTGCTGTGCCGAATGATCCTTCTGAAAAAGAGCAGAAAACAGCACATCGGCGAAAGGGTGAAACACAACCAGAGGAGCGCAGCGCCGAGCCCCGCTGTACAAAATGCAAGGGATAGAGTACCACCGATCAGAACCAAGAACATGAATGCGAGAAAAATCAAGAGCGTCTTCACATACTCAAAGCAGCTTCTCCCTTTAGGCGGAAAGAAATCGCACAAGGCAGCTATGATCTGAAGACACGTCGTAAACCACAGGACATCGTTAGCGATGACATCTCCAATAATCTGCGTCACGATGCTTATCAGTGGTGCACCTGCTTTCCACATGCCCAGACACTCTTCCAGTCCTGCCGAAACAAGCGCTGTTGCCACGAGAAAGGAGTAGGCGACGGGAGCACTGCTGCGATGAATGCCGGCCACCATCTCCTCGAACAGTTGGCCTCGCACATATTCGTTGAATTTCTCCGGCGTACCATACCATTCTGTTATGGCGGCGTGGATGAACTCTTTGTCAAACTCGCTGCGACAGTCCGCATTCCGAACGTCGAACTGGGAAAGGTCCTTCAACAGCTTACGCTTCTCCACCGAAAAGTGACGTAGCAGGTGGACCGCAATCATAGCAGGCAGCGTGCCGAAAACAAAAGAAACCATCTGCAAATTCCCGTCATATTGGGAGACGAAGGTAATCTGGTGCACCATGGCTCCACAGTAAGTGCTGGCCCACAGGATCAGGATGCAGGCTTCAACGAAGAGTGGCGTCATCGAAATCTTCCCAGCAGGGTTGGCCATTCGGTAGGCAGCTAGCTCAAACACACACCAGAGCCTGCCGACAGGGAAACCCAAATGCACGGAAACAACCCCCTGCGACCACCGCGCCCTCAATGGCCGAAAACCCTACAGTTGCCGACCTGTCTGCGAAAGCCTTCCAGCTGGGATCGCTGGGATCTTCGATCTTACTTAACCTTGGATCTCCCTTCGTGAGACACGTTACCAAGATAGCGGTGTGTGTGTAAGATGTGTAAGCACCTGGGCTACTGGCCCATGCAGAACCAACAATAAGCACACAAGCAGCTGCACGGATGCAGGGTACCACTCGCTGAAGGTTATGTGACTCAATGGCTCGAAGGTGTGGAAGGATTGGGTTGCCAAGCGCATAAGAAGCTATTCAAATTCAGACGATTTCAGACGTTTTAGACGTCCAATTCCGCTACGTAAAGCACAGGCCTTGACAAGTACGGCGGACTCCACAAGACTCGAAGTTCCCGAGCCACCGTCAAAAATCCGCCAAGGCCATAAATTCCACGCTCCATGAGGACTGGATCCGTCTGGTGGATGCTCACCTCCGCGAGTACTAGCAGAGTCGCTATGGCCTATTGAAAACGATTGCCGCTGCTGCCAAAATCTGCATAGCTAGTGCAACTGGTGTTCCATAAGTTCTGGATCCTTTAGGCCAGGACTGAGGAAGCACGACTCAAGACACTCCAACAGCCACGTGACAACATCGAGGAAGCACGTTCCCGAGCTGCTGAACCATGTGGGGATATATGCCGACAGTAGGACGCCAAGCGTCGTTCCAACGAAGCCAAAGACAATAACCCAGGTTCCCAACGGACAGGTTGCGTGGAAGCCAGCCACGTTCATCTCCACAATTCCCGTCATTGGCAGAATATCGGAAACACAGAGAAACATCGCAAAGCAGACCGAATAGGTCCAGGACCATAAAGCAATCTTCCAACTAGACTGCATGAGCAGCGCCAAGATCTTCCAGTTCCCGGAAGTCTGCCAAGTGTGCGACAAAAAAATGTCGAACCCTTCCACTGTTTGCGAAAGATTCCAAAGCTGCTGCCGCTCCTCCTGGGGGAGATCGATCGGGGAACGACGCCAGAGACTCCCGCCCCGGTGAAATGTCTTGCGCAGCTCAATACCTCGGATGATCTCTTTGTCTACGACCAGGTGGCCCATCTTCTGCAGGCGGCTCCTTTTGGACGGTGGTCGGTTGTCTTCCTCCTTGGCTTCCTGAGCACGGTGAACAGCTGGAGCCACCATCGTGTGGCCATGCCCGGTGCCCACCACCTTTCCGCGGCCCAGCTGATCCTTGGAAGTGTCCACATCCGGGTCGGCTTGGCAATGGAGGACCTCAGGCTGAATCACTTCCACCGGGGGATCCTCATCCTGACAGCAGCTGGCCTTTGATCCCATTCCGCAAGAGAAGGCGGTACATACATACCTCTGAGCCCATACTGCTAGGTTTCAGAATTGAAGCAAAGGGCCAACTCGCACGAATCTGCTCATTGGCTCAGCTAACCCCCTCGGACGAAGGCTCGCTGATCCAAGTGCTTCTCCAGAGTTTCAAGAGCCTCGTGCCAGAGCCAAAAGGTTCAAAGATTACCGGAGAATAGGTTACTGCAATTTTCAGAAGTAAACCCTAAACCCTAAATCCCTATAAGCCCTGAAACCCTAAACCCTAAACCCGGAGCTTCGGACCGCTTTCGCCTGCTCCATCTGCAGAGGTGGGTTGGCGAGCTCCATCTCGCCCCAGTCAAGCCACGAGTCCACCTTTCGGAGGTCCATATAGGAAGATACTCTATCTATCTCTACCTAAAAAGTATCTCAGAATAGTATACTATCTTATACTATACTATACTGTACTAGACTAGACCAGACTAGACGCGACTAGACTAGACGATACTGTCCCATGCCATACCATACTATGCTATACTATACTTTCTCTTCTATCCCATCAAGCTATTAGATTATCTCACCTACTCAAATCTTGCAGCCCAGACGGGCCAAGACCCTGCCTCGGCAGACTCAAAGAATGTGCTTCCGTACACCTTTTTCGCAAGGCGCCCACTTGCTGAAGTTCCCAGTACACTAAACCACTCTGCCTCCACGCCGTCGTAATATCTGCCGATAAAGCGCAAAATTGCGTTGGCGTACCTGGTAGCAAACGCTTTCATACAAGCAGGCGGCCAGGGGGGGACCAAGCTGGTCGGACAAGAAACGCTTGGAAGGCGCACCGAACACATTGCTTGTTTCCTGCGACTTCAAGACGAATTTCTGGTGGCCCAGGCGTCTTTGGCGCCTCGAGTGCAGAAGCCAATGAATGATATGGCGGCAGCTGTCAACTGGAGGCTGTTACACACACATGATACACTAGATCCTGCAAGCGAGAGCTGCAGCCGCGAATGGAATTTCGGCTTCTGCCTCCAGGCGCAAGTCTACGCCCGCCGCATGGGCCGCAACAAGAATCTTCTGCGTGGAGACCTGAGAAGATGTGGCAAATTCTCGGCTTCTCTCAGCTGAGATCTCCCGAGATCTCCACGTCCGAAGGGCTGGCCACGAGGCACGGAGCACCTGGCAACGTCTTGAAAGCTGCGACTTCGCGACTTCTGCAAAGCGCGACAAACTGCGCCAAGCATGGCCCGGCATGGTGGCCACGCTACCGCCGCTACGCTACCGCTCTTCCAGAAAGCCCAGAAAGCTGCGAAGCCCCAAGGGGGAGCTTTCGAGGTGTGATAAAGCCCCTGCATGACACACATATGCTCACTTCGAGACCATCCTTCTGCGTGGCCTGCGTGGCGTGGGCGCCACGCGGGGTTCACATCGATCTGCTGTGAAACATCTACTCCTGGGCACATCGACTCCTTCTAGCCGAATGATCTAAATCTATGTGCCTGGGGCGCAGAGCATTTACGCTGAAGGCCGAAGCCACGGGAAAATGAAAGAAACCTACATTCTGGCACCTCGCAGCTTCATGCGGCACATCGCAGAAATGTCGGTATCGAAATGTCGGTATCTACCGAGATTCTAGAGACTCGGCTGTTTGCTATCCGAGCCCAGGACGCCACCCAAAATCAGCAGCCTCTTGCCACAAGCTTGAGGCCACCCGGTGCTGTAACTGGCTCTGGGTCAGAAAGGCGCAGGTGCCAGAGAATCGACAAGATGCCTCAAGCAGCCCGCGTTGCGTCACGTCGCTTTCTTTCCCAACATCACTTCTTTGGCCTTCAGGGTGCTATACTAGCTCTGCAGAGTGCCACAACCCCCGAGCACCTCATTGATCTTGGAGGCGATGTATGTGGATCCACCCTTGTCCGGATGGTTTGCGATCAGCAGCCTGCCACGACGTATGTGCACCTTCCTTCTGAGAGTACCGGATCGAGCCTCCTGTGTGCTTCTCGCACCGCATCCTTGCTTGGGGCCATGGAGGACAGATTCAGAATCTGCCGTGCCTGCGGAAGACCGGAAAGAAACCCCTCAGCCTGCGCTTTCTGCGTTGGTGGGGCCTCTGCGCGAGTCATCGGTGCCTCGAAGCCCTGCATGCCACTGCTGAAAGCTCCGAAGCCGCCAAAGGCTGGCATATTGAAGTTCACCTGTCGTGGGGCAAAGCATGCAACTCAGTAACGCCAGTAACCCAGCATCTCTTTTGAGCCGCACCTTGACCCCAGAGGCCCTTACGGCCCTTAGACCCTGCCGAGCAGCCAGGGCGCCCAAACCTGCCGAGATGAAGGTTTGGGACCCAGGCCGCCCAGGCCCGTAGCTGACGGGCGCCTAGGCCTCCCAGAAGCAGAGGCCACATACCTGGGAAAGTTAGCACCCATCTTACTAGAGCAGGTCTGACGGAAATCTCGCTGACAGGCACTGATGAGCTTGGCCGTGCACTAAATGCCTGTGACGGCACAGCGTCCGACACCTTGGAAGCCCTTGACCTCGAAGTGCCTTGGCAGAGAACGCGGACTCCCCCAAGACTAGCAGACGCACATCATCGCGCAGCATTGACATCCTAGTGACATCTACTGATTCTAATGGATGTAGGCATCATTGCCATTTCACCACGAACACTGTCTGACACTCAACGTAACGTTCCAAGCGATTCCACCCAGATTTTGACTTCGCCTGTAGAGCAAGTCTGGCCAGACGTGGCCTTTCTGGTCACGAACCCCTGTCGAGGATGACCAAGGACTTTGACATGTACGGATGCCATCTTGGAAGCACCGTAGCTTCTACAGACGGTCGCTGCTTTCTCACACTCTTCGGGCGCGTGCCACTGCGAAGCTGCGAAAGTCCTGCCCGGTCGTGCCCATTAGAAGAGATGCACTCTGATGGGCCTTGGCACGCCTACGCATGGTGGAAGATTGGTGTCGCGGTATCGTAGAGAATGCCGCACCTAGGCAGCTCTGGTCTTGGAACTTGACAAGCTAAAATGTCCAGTGACCTACCCTCAGCCGCTCAGCCCAGCACATGCCACAAACCGTCACCTGCGTGGGACCACCGTCGCAGCCTGTTCCCAGCTCCGGCTGGCTGTCTATTCCACACCAGCTCTCCTTCCACGGACACGGCCCTCTCGCACCCTCCGTGACACGCTGCATATCAAGGCAATCCTCCTGATCAGTGCGAAGCAGGCGGATGGTGCCATCCTCACCGAAGTTCTTGCCCCAGGAATTGAGAATCCTCCAATACTTCTTTCCCAGCTCGACGTCCTGGAGTGAACTACATCCATACACTCCATCACACACCAATGCGAAGACGCGGGACCGGAGTCCTTTCCGTAGCCGGTGAGGGTGACAGCATGATCGATGATCACGTCTTTGCTGCAGTAGTCGAAGATGCCCTTGAGATACAAGTCCCATGAATCTGCACCTCGCTTTTGCGAGAGTTGCCACATGCACCAACTCCCTGTCGCTGTCGCGACACGGCTGGGGCTGGGCCCCGCACTGACAGAGACCGCAACAGGGCCATGTTGCACGACGGCCCGCATCCTCAGGCTGAAGGACAGCTCGACACAGCGACTCTCAAAGAGTCCTTTCATCCGTTTGTCCGAGGAGCAATGGCAGATACTTGTTCTCCGGCAATTTCTCCCAACCTGGAAGCCCCGACGCTACAAAAACGGCAATTAGCACTGCTTCCGAGAACTAAGAAACCCACCGTGGATTCCCAGAGACTGCAGTCCGACAGAACTGGCTTTGGCTTTGCGAACCTGAGCAGGCTGCTCGCACTGCCGGCACTGGAACATGAAATTCGTCGAGTACTCCCGGGGCACAGACACCGGATGCTGCAAGATCATCAGATCCCGCCAGCTGCAGAGCTGCCACGGCTCCTGAGCTTCGAGTCCACTCGCAGTGAGATGCGCAAGACACCACAGCACCACGTTTGCCAAGGCTCCAGTTTGGCACTCGTGATCAGCTCCTCTCAACACAGCAACCCGCTTGGCAGCCCCTTCTGTGGCTACCACTGGCCCTGGTCCTTGGTATGGAACTTGCGCCTCCTGAGCTGTGAGTCGCATCCAGCTCGCGACAGTGCGACTACAGCAGAGCATGGTCGCCGCTTTCAGTTCCAAACAACCTCCTGTGCCATCTATGATGGGTGACCATCCACGATTGTTCATGACAGTTTTCAAGTGTCTTCCATGACACTCAGTACGAGATGTTGAATTCACGGCAATCCCGCACTCCACCAACGGTTGAATCGAACTACACATATGTGTGACGTCGGGATTCGGACGCCAGCCCATTCTGGACGACGTAGGCCATCGCGAGCTCCACGGTAGCTCCAGCACAACCACCGGTACCGCCACAGTTCCTTAGCACATCTGATGTGCAACGCAGACCTCAATGGAATGTCTGACCCGTCTTGCTGCCGTGCCACCGAGGATTCTCCACACCTGGGTGCAGAGAAGTGCATGACGGGATGGTCCGGGGTTCGAAAGCCTTGAAAACGGCATCTCGCAAAAAGCCCATGTGCTGCCGCTTTGCAGTTCACCAGTTGCTGGGCGGAGAGTTGCTCCTAGCACTTCGGCTCATGTCGGCTTCTCTGACTCCCACGGTCCGCCGGAGAGGTATTAGGTTGCGGGTGGAGGTATATGATAGTAACCATGCATGTCGATCATCTTGGTCGTTCTGTACAAGCACGTATTGCTAGTGTGAGCTTGCATTGCTATACTTGCTGCACATGAAGTTCACCCAGCGAGTATCATCATACTGAACCATAAGCCTTTTTCTGGTGCTACGAGCAGAAGTCGAGCCAGCCACATCCATAACACCGATGTTCAAACGGTTTGTTGGTTTACTAGCATTCTACGTCGCATTCTTCCTACGATCAAGACTTACATTGCGCTTGAGAGCTATCTGATATCTGCCACTTGCACAATCGCAAGGGGGGATGGCTACAACTCGAACAAACAGAATGTCTGGGTGATTTTTGGGACAGCAGCGATTGCCGGCCACGGGTTGCAGCAGCTCTCGACGGTCAGAAAAACAAGTCACCGTGCTGAATTCCAGAAGTCCCAGCTTATCCCAGACTGTGAGTTTAAGAAGTGTGCTGAAGCCTGTTTGCACAACACAAGCCAAGATCATCCGCATCATCGGACGCCCGCCTCTACTCCGAATCCACCCCGCCACTAAACTCGGAAATGGGTCTGCCCGAACCAAGCCCCGGTCCAGCCCCACTAAACATCGATTTGGCCAGATTTCAGAGACCCATGAGACAAGCTAGCAAAGCTGGGCTCCAAACAACAGCTCTGCAAAAAATCAAATCTGCTACAAGCTGTTACATTGTCGTCTGACACATGGCACCCCAGGAATACCGCGATAATGTACTATTAGACCCTACTGCAACTGCATGCTGCAATTGCTGAACACCGATGCATGTAACTGCAGTTGTAAGCCCCCGGACAGAACCAACACCTATCTGAAACAATCATAATACCGGCACCGTCGTACCACTTTTGAAGTCTGAGCATTTGTCGTGGACATGTTGTACTGGTACTGTTTGGACACATACCCACATCCGTGCTATGCCTCATATACATGCACCTTGCAAGTACAGATCGCATGTGCCAAGATGTATGCATTATCTGGGATTATGCAATCTTATGTATGTATGAGTGCTTATGTGTCTATATACAACATGTACGTAGAATGCTATATCCGGGTCCTGCTTTCCGAGATAGATCTCCCGGTGCGCCTCGAGCACTGTGGCCGAGGTTACCTGGCTGCTGACTGCAACTCAGACACTATTCTTAGTTCTTCGAACATGAATATATATATATATACATACATACATACATATATATTGTTTCTTTAATAGATATATATATATATACACGTATATGTAAATATATGTATACTGAACTGTATGCATACATAGATCCGAATGCATTGAACATGGACGAAGGCCGGAACACGGCTACGTTAATGACACACATGCCCACTGATAACTGAGTGCCCACCGCCCAGCAGGATCCACAGCCACCTTGGTCTTTGGCCTGGTAGAGCAGAGGCCACTATCTGTCGAGCATGGTGCCTGGACTCCTCGCTATCAGAAACCTTTTAGATGCCTGGCGCACGTCTGAGGCCCAAGGCTTGAGATTGCTGACATGTTACAACTACAGAAAACTAGTGGTAGCTGCTAGCGACAGGCCTGGCCTGCAGCATGGTCAGGTTGGCCCACTTGTTGCACTCTTCGGGAAGATCCGACTCAGACTGGAGAAGAGACATCTGCGTCCTCCGGACAGCAGTTCCGCAGTCTCAGCAATCCGCTGCAAACCCCAGAGCTCACGCGATGCCTCAGGGCTTTTGGGCTCTTACGACCTGAAGACCAGCGGAATAAGTGGTCTCAGCCCTTTGCTGCAGCCTACGGGTGAGCCCGGCACTGGCGAAGCCAGCCCAGCCCTTCTTCTGACTCAGCTCCTGTGGAATTCACATGCTTTCCCCTGCTGGACAGAGAGAGCACTAGTCCTCCGGCGTCAGGTCTGACAGAGGTCCCACGCCCGCAATCCACAGGTGGCCTGGCATAGTGCGGTCTCGGCATTCTCTGCGAAGCGAAGGAAGCCTGGCCTGGTCGGGAGTTGATGACCTCGGCTTTCTGGAGGCGCTCGGAGAAGAGCGTGAGGCGCTTGAAATACTCATGGGTACCTTTCCTGAGATGCACGAATCTGAGACAACTTCTGTAGAAAACTTAAAGAAGCTGCAAGACTTGACTTTGTCCTCTAGCACGAATCACAGAGAGCTAGCGCATGCTAGCGCTATACTCTTGGAAACTCGCGAGCTGTTGCTGCACTTGACCTGGGCCGAGAGGCTTGTAGTGGCGCCCATGCCTGGGTTCGATGCTTTCCAAAGGTGCTGGGCAGCACGAAGTCATCTGCTTAAATGCGAAATATGACCGATCTTCGTGTCCCTACGCCGTCATTCCCGCCATAGCTGCTGGTCAATGAAGCTGTGAAAGGCAGCAATGTGGTGTCCCGGAACATGCTCCTTCACGAGGACGCCAGCAGCCAAAGAGGCGAGAATCGTGCCGCATGCGAATCGCAGCTGCATCGCAGTAGTAGAGTGGTTCGCCTCAGCATCCACATCGAACTGCTTGCATTATTCGCATGTATCTCACGAACATGGTGGCGCGAGCTGTCCCCGAGGAGCCAGCTAGCAGATGAGTGATAATGGGTAGGCTGGGCAGAGCGGCTTAACTCTACCACCTTTTGGGCATGAGTGGCTGCGTCGCGACGCAGATCCCATCAATGCTAGAGCAGCTAGAGCGCAAGTGTCAAGAAGACTAAGGTCCTCCAAGGTCCAGACCTGCTGCTTTCTGGCTCGCCTTCTCTCAGGGAGTTTTCCCACAAATCGAACTGCTTCCGCCATTCTAAGAATCCACCCAGCCTCCGCCGCCTCGGGCATTGAGAAAGCACCAGCTAAGCCTTCCTCTGTCTCACTGAGCCGTCGGGGTTTTTGTCAGATGGAGCCGTGGCCTCCCGAGCTCCAGAACCCTAGACCAATGGACCTTTTCTTATGCCGCAACGGATGGATGTCCGGTTGCTTGTCGATAAGCTTGGGCCCTCAAGGGCCTTCCGAGCAGTGCACATGAAATCATACACATCGGGTACAGTAAACATGAGAGGAGAAGCAGTTCTGGGGACTGCGCGCTGCTGGCAGAAGCCCTGAGCCAAGAGGCGTGAAACGGTCAGAAATGGAAAAACACCGGTGGGAAGGTCGATGCTTCCGTCTTCGTCCCGTTCTCAAAGCTGAAGTTTCTGTCACGCAGCTCAGCTGCACAGTTAATTTTTGCGCTTCTCTTCTGATTTGAGACGAGATCCGCGCACAAAAGTGCTTCGTCTTACACTGACCATTCCACTTGTACTCGAGTGAAACGAATCGTGCCTATGCATCCTCTGTCGCAGGAGGTGCTCTCATGCATATGTGCCAACCCAGCTCCACCCGACGAAATCGCTGAGCAGCTCGGCAAACTTAAACATGGCAGCTGAGTTCACAGTTTCACAGCGGCGGGATATGCATGGGGCAGCTAACACCTTTGACTCTGAGATGCAAGTTCCTGGCTCCAAGCTTACATGGAAGATATTCACAGCGCACCCTTTGGGCTGAAGCTTCAAAATCGCTAAGGCGACACCGCGCGTGTCATCCTGCCACCCTGCCCAGGAAGCCCTAATCTACGTTTGAACCTGGGTTACACACGCAGTCGAGGGTCTACCCGTCTACCCCCTTTGCCAGCTGTGGCTGACATCAGCTTACTGCTTACTGGGCTTACAGGTAGCCATGCTTGGGGCTACCTCTTGGCAATGTTGATGCCGTGGAGGTAAAATCAGTCCGAGCCGACAATCGCTCCATGCAGGGCAAAGCAAAGGAAAAGGACCTCGAAGGTGTCAGATTGTGGGGTGTCCGATGCAAAGAGTCCTTCGGCCACCAAGGCCACCACCCCACCGGCAGTGACGACCATCCGCTCGGAGATGTGCTCGGCCAGGACACGGCCCCCGAGGACCTGCTCGCAGAAAAGACAGGGGGTCTGAGGTCTGCTGGCCTCTTTCTGCGTCGCGGACCGCAAGGCTCGTGCAACACGAGTGGCCAATTATGCCACCCAGCGTCACCCCCAGCGGGTCCTGCTCAGGGGGGGGGCACTGTTGGCTTTGGTGGTGTTGGCTTCGCTGTCGCCTTCGCTGCAGCTAGAGCAATGGTCGAGATCTGGGAGCGGTCACCCCACTCGGCCAAGAAGGTCAGGGTCAGCGCCTGGCGCTCACATGGCCCAGCGTGGCAAGCGTGGCAACGGAGCGTTCACCAGCACCTGGCCAGCCACGGCCCAGGTCTGCTTTGCCTTGGGGCTCTGCTCCTGGTCTTGATGAGTTGCAATATGAAACTTGGATGCTACTCAGAATGAGCATGACTCATGACGCAACACAAGACAAGAAGGTCTCCGCAGGAGCCCTTCGGAACACAGCGCAATACGGCTGGAAATCGCTGGCTCCTTCAGGCTCTGCTCTACCTCCTCCAGCTCTTCGCTAGGCCTGCGAAGTGTGCAAGAGATTTCCCAGTCGCAAGATTGAAGGAAGGACAGCTGTGGTCTCTGGCAAAAGAACTCACAAGCCCAGGCAGCTAGGATCGTAAGATCCACAAGGGCCGAAGCAAAGATTCCGTTATTTTGCGCCCCGGCACTATTCTCCAATTTCTGAGCACGGGGAAAGGGCCTGAAAGGGCATGAAAGGGCTGCAATTCAGCCCCATCAGATGGCGATCTTTACCACATTGCAGTACTGTAAGCCTGGTCGGAGGTGCGTTGCGGGCACCTTGCCTGGTCCTGCAGACTATAGCACAACCTGCCAACTGCTGCTTCGCAGCTGAAGCAAGCTGGAGAGTCACACCCGGAGGACTCAGCTCAGGGAATGCGGCTCGATCGGTGAGAGCCGATGCTGTGCCTGTGAAACCAGAGGCTAGAATCGGCTAGAACGTGTAAACAACTTCCATGCCCCTTCTCAGGCGTAGGCAGACCGTGTGCGCCGGCCGGAGGATCCCGGCGGAGCAGCCGAAGGACCCGCTGGGCCTGACATGAGTTTCACTAGTTTGACTCCCAATGAGGCCATGCATCTGTGCTGGCCTCGGTGCGTGAAGCACTGGGCACGGCTGAAACCTGGCTCCTCCGAATCGCGAGGCCTTAGACAAGCTGGCTCCGCTTGAGAGCTTTGAAGAAGCCTGGCTTGCTCCGCTTGCTCCTGGGTTCCTTGCGGCGGTGGCACCGGCGCCAAGCGCCGGGGAGTTTCTCCCGGCACGCGCAAGGAACCTTTCGGATGCAACTCGACCGGCTCCCAGACACGACCACGACCCCTCCTGCACAGACCACGTTGCCCAATCTTGTCAATGCATACGTGCTTTCTTGTGCGTTTCAGGCTATGGATGATGATGACTCAGCCGTTGCGTCATGTGCGTGGTGTCTCAATCATCCAAGTCCCAATTCACATGCATCAGGATTTCAGCATCTCGCCATATCTCCGGCTTGATCTGCATGTCCAAGGGGCCACAGCGGTGTTGAGTGTTTGGGGGCCCGATCTAGGAAGGGAAATCTTGATTGAGTCCTGACTGTGCTCCGAGAAAGACGTGACTGGCCTGTTATTTGGCATCGCAGCTGCAGGCCTTCTGAACAGGCTGAAGCCGCCGCCGCGCTGCTGGGCGTTCTTCTTGTAAGCAGGATCTGCCGTCATTTCTTCACATGCTGATACCATGCGGCACATCGCAGCGCGAGAACTCACTGGCAACATGTCATCATGTCGCCTGTCCACCAAGAACGACGTCTCGCTCTGCTTCAACAACCTTTGCCTTGCAGATTCATTGCCGGCACATGTGAGGAGACCGGCGCGAACAAGTGTGAAAACGAGTTTGTGCTTTCGGTAGGCTAGACCTGCATGGATGACAACTTCCTCGCAAACTCGACGGAAGCTTCACGAAGCTTCTCCTCGAAAGCATGGGAAGACGCGTCTTTACATGCAAACCGGGCAAGAAGCAGACTGCTGCGCTGCCTCGGCTGCAGTGCGTGCCTGCTGCTCGCGTTCCAACTCAAGCTGGAGTCGAGCAGCCTCCTGCAGCCATCAGCCATCCACCATCAAATGCCTCTAGGACTAGGGCTGCGCTTCCGGACGCCCGGCGAAAACTTGCCCTTACAGCGCAATCATCCTTGCCAGAATTAGCCAAGAATTGCAACAGCAACATAGTGCAACACGGGACACAAAGTGGATCATGCCGCCGCTAAACCAGCCACGATCGTTCTGCCGGGGTCTTGAAGCGAATAAGCAGGTGCGCCTACAAGAACATGGAACCTGGAGCGCTTAGCCTCTTTCGTTGGAACCCCACATGAGACTGCACCGGGAGACACTTCGGAGTGCAAAGTTCGAGTCGTCCTCCTGGGCCGCAGCAAGTTGGGCCCGTTGAGCCTCCGACAATCGGGGAGCCCCGAGCCCCGGAAAAGTTCCCTCGGACCTCCACGACCTCCAAAGCAGCCGTAAGTGCCCGCCTTAGAGCTCTCAATTAATGCAACAAGACGAAAGCTAAGCTCAGCATCGGTGACGCTTCAAATGCAGCTGACCGAGTCACGGACTCAAGCTGCCCAACATCGCTCTGCATCTGCTGGTTGATGTTAGTCGTCTGAGGGCCGCAAGCACGTTGCAAGCATGACCAACAAGAGAGGCATGAGCATGATGAAGTGAGGGCTGGCCTGGCATGGCACAGTGAGGCATGCGGCCGGCGCAATCGTCCGTGCATCCACAACTTTTCTAGAGATTCGACAGTAAGCGATCAACGGGCCTGCATGCTACATTTAATCGCTGTACCGCTGTGTGTGCTGTGTGCCCAGCATGAGCTTGCATGCTTCAAGAGACGACTGCAGCATGCCCGTTCAGATCAACTTCGCAGGCCCTCCCTGTCGACATTTACCTGATTCACGTTGCACAAATTCTTCACATGATGAGCCAGGCACCCACAACCACTTCCGCTGCGCAACATCTGAAGAGCCTTCCGAGATCTCTGCACAGAAAACAGCTGACCTCCAATCAGCGGGGGGGCTGGGGCCTCCCAAAGGAGCTTCAGGCCGAAGTACACGAAGAGCGCCACTGCGGCCCAATGAGTGTACCTTGGGAAAAGGGGAGCTCTGCATGGTTTTTTCGCGGCGCAGGGTGGGCTCGGCTGAGCCTTGGGCTTTCTGGGCATCAGCTTGGGGAGGACCAGGCCGATGGTGGCACTCAAGGCCTTCATTTCAAGAAACCAGGTCTGTCGGGCCACAGCAGCCACATCATCTCAGCTGCCGGCGGTCATTGCAGCCAGTGCGCCTGCGGACCCGAAGAACACGGCCAGCCGGTCCTGAGACAGCAGGTTCTACCACCGCAGAACACACAGTGCGCAGCAATGCGCAGAACAACATGCGACAAGTGACAAGGTCTGCTTGGGACAGCACATGTCTCATTGCGAGCAACGCCGCAATGAAGAATGTCTTGTCACCTTTGCAAAAGAGAGAAGTCCGGTTGTACGGTGCAGCAACGCTCAAGACGTACTCTGTGGCTAACGTGCGTTTCTGCGCGAGAGCATCTGAAAATCCCTGATCTGCGAGTTCTGAGCACCCTTTTGAAATCTGCGGGTGTTGTGGAAGACATTCTGGATTTGTTTTCGAAAGTCCTGGAAATCTCGACTGCGGCCCATGGAGGCCCCCGGTGGACTCTTTGCCAAGGTCTTTGTGACAGTCTGGCTTGGCGGAGTGCAGTAGAGCTGCGTGAAACGCTTGAAGCAGGAGTCACGGACGACGAGATGCACCTCCCAGATCCTGCCGGTGGCATGACCATCGACATTCGCTGTCCACCGTGCGTCAATGTGAAGCAAATTGCTGAAGCCTCACCCCACCGAACAGCTCCTCTGAGACTGTTTTGAAAATCCTGCAGCATTTCCAGCATCACCCGGAGCTTGCTAGCCTTGCTGCCGATGCCCGCCATATGCAGAACCGCAGAGCCCGTTTCTTTCACCGATGCTGCATCCTGGAATTGAAGTTTGAGCCTTCTCCCCATGGACACCGCACCATGTTCGTGCCAAGCGCCGCCCTTTATCTCGGCATCGTCGAAGCCTTCTCCTGTGACCCGGTGAAGACTCGAGGCAAAAGCTTCCGATGGCCGCGGACCGATTGCATCAGGAAGCCGTGCTTCTTACATGCTGTGGCGGCCGATGAGAGGGTAGACTATACCCTCAATGAGCCATTCGGAACTTGTTCTTGGAGCTCCACGAGCTTGCCCGCTCGAAGCCATTCCGATCGCACTGGTAGTCTAGCATAGACTGGCGGATCTGCCTGAAAGCCGCAAGTCTCAAGAGCTGCACGAGTCCACGGGACCGGCACGAGACGGTTGGGAGATTACTCAGGTTGCGACTCTTCGCTGCACATGACCTCAACTGCGGCTTTTGGTGTTCAGTGCCCGAGTGCCCCTGACCAACAGCTCAGCTGCCAAAGGGCAAAGGGTCCCTGCCACACGACCGGTTCGCGCAAAGGCTTGGCCGCACAGAGGAAGAAGGAAGCTTCGGAAGATCCCGTGCGAACGGTAACACCTTGCGCCACGAGACAAATGAGACCCAGCCTGAGTGACATTGCCGCACAAAAAACTCTGGTGCCGCCACAGTGCCGTCTTCCCCAGGAGCTGCACTGAGGACAAGGCAATGGTTCGCATCTGCAGTCACATCCGCAACCAGAACTTGGCCCAGAAGGGTGTAGATGAAGGCTGAATGTCCTTCTGGAATCAACCTGGGCTTTCGACACGTTGCAAGCATGCTCTGTTTTGCTGAAGCTTGAAGCTCAGAACGAGAGACTGGTGGAGGAGCGCAAAGGGCTCCATGGTGAAGTGGATCCTCAAAGAGAGTCCGCTCACACGAAACCACTCTGCTGCACTGCTGCGCTCCAGTCTCGGACCAGGCTCGCCAACTCAGGGCCATGGCGAAGACCCTCTTGGCAGTGCCCCAAAGCCTCTGCAGACCGGTTGACCCTCGAAAAACCCCTTCGCATTGGAGAGTGCCCAGCCAGTGCCTTCCCTGCCAGGATGGCAGCGGTGATGCCCGGCACGGCAACACGCAGCTGCTTGCCTCGAGGCAGCTCCAGATACCTCAAAAGAGCACTCATGCTGCGCACAAAGACTCACAAAGACTGCAGAGGCAGGCCAGGGCACCCAGGAGCAACCATCTTCTCCTGGCTTTCTGCGGAAAGAGCAAGCATGGTAAAGTTCATCAAGAGACATAAGATTCTAAGATCCTACAAGGTGGCAGAAGGCGCGGCGGTGCATGGGCCATGCAGCCCTGTTGTAGAGCAACACAGTGCATTCAGAGTGTCAGGTGAACACAGAAAGCCGGTGAAACGAGCGTTCAAGCATGCCGTTCTTGACCGGAATTGACCAAGAGGTCACCACGGACGACTGTCTTGACCCTGCTTCATGCTGCACAAGTTTTGAAGGTTTGCATTATGTCCTGTTCAGGCAGATTGATCCACATCTGAAGCCCCCGTGCGAAGAAGCGGCTGTCAGGCACCTTTCGATGCGCAAAGCAAAATCCAATGTGCCAAAAATTGAGTTGAATGCAGGCTGCAGGCCTCATAACATTGACTTCGCTGCTGTCCCCGCCTCGGAGTGTAGGATCCCGCGTCCACAGGTCATCCACTGTGCGTCGCCGGGCTTCAGAATGCCTGCATTGCCTGCCGGTTTCGTTTTGTTTACAAGTTTTGCTGGCCCAATGCTCCCTGCCTAGGAAATCCTCGTGCGAAAGGGCTCCCGGAGAAGACGGGAGCAGGTAGGTCATGGTGATAAAGCCACGATGGGCATGATCCGGAAATCCGTCTGGCAGTGCCACGGTGAAGTCCTCGGACGCCGACAAATCCTAAACTGGGCTATAGACCGGTGATCTATCAGACCCTGACATCAAGGGCCAGGATGGGGTCCAGGTCGGCAGAATCCTTCGCAAGACTTCCACACTCAAAAAACTACCAGTTTGCGGTCGTTGGCGAAGCCGTCCTGCGAATCCGGACGTATGGGCCGTCTCACATCCGTGGTGCCACCACCGGACTGCTCGTCTGCGAAGGAGCTGCGAAGAACTTGCCTTAACTCGTGGAAGAAATCGCAGCTGAGCGACAGCAGCAACCGACCCTCGAACACTTCCAGTCTCCACCTGGGTATGGCCGGAGCATCTGGCATCGTCCCGGGAATCCAAACATCAGGGGGCACCTCGGCCACCTTCCCAACAACTCAGTCAAGAGCCCTTCCAGTGCACGGTCTGTCCCCAGCCCAAGCTGCCTTCCCAGTTGGATCACCCCGAGTTCTGCGGCTCAGCTTAGAAAGACACCACCTGCATTCAACTTCGATTGTTGGCAAGCAATGTGCACCGAGAGGAATGTGAGAAACTGAGCCGAGTACATGTGCAAAGCTGTCGAAGTCTAGATGAAAAACGTTTGCCAGCATGTAGGTAAACACCCGGGTGTTCAGACACCAGCTGCGTGAAAGCAGGAAGCTTCAACCGAGCTTCAACACGAGTCCACTCACCGGCTGCACTACTTCGTTGCCGACGATTGGGGCTGCTTGAGCCGCTCAGGCCGAACACATCGTCCGCATGCGACAAACGTCCTGCTGAAGACTGGCGACAGCTTCTTGGGCCGCCACCCAGCTCGGTGACCAAGATCATTAGGAAGCTGTTGCTGAAAGCCTCTTGAAGACTCTCGTATTATAGGGGGGGACCATGGGGGACCTCTTTCAGAATTTTCGTTGCTTCTCGCCTCCTGCAGGGTTCCCAGCTCCGCCAGGTCGCTGGCTACGTCCAGTCCAGTGGAATTCCTGGCGGCCAGGCCGGCTTTCCAACAAGACTCGTCACAAGCATCTGCTCATCTCTGCTCATTCCGGGCCCCCCGAGCCCCGCACAACGCCATATTCTGCCTGAGAAGCTTGGCCGCATGAGGGCGTTGGAAAGAGCTCTGGGGATGCCCGGGCCGTGCCGCATCTCATGCGATTTCCCTTACACTCCAGACAGGAGTGAACCTGACTTGGAGGTGTGTGCCTTCTCGGGCCTTTCCGTTTCGTCTCCTTTCGGGATCCGTGCTTCCATTGCAGCGGGCTTTTCGCTTCTACAAAACAGAGGGCGGTGGGGAGGTGAGGTCGGTGTGAACCGATGGGAGGCGGCGTGGGGGGAGGTGAGGGCGGTGTGGCGCGGTGGGGCGCTCATTCCTTGCAGGGCTCCTTAAATGCAGCTTGTTCAACTCTGACTCGACTATGAATGTGGCGAACACAAAAGCCTGACACAACACATCACCTCGAGAAACGCTTGCGCATGTGCGAGCGAGTCATTCATTGCAACATGGGCTCTGAGGAAGGTGTTTGCTGCTTGAGCTCCTGCTCAAGGGCGAAAGAGGTCCCTTCTCATGGCCTCCACGTCAAAAGCTGAACAACGACCTGTGCTACCCTGGCTGGGATCTGGCTGCTAGCACATCACGAGCCAGACACGGAACGAGACAGGCAATCAGTTCTCGTCGTACCCAGATGCACACTGAAGAACACAAGCACCGACAAGACAAAGGCTTGCACAGGCTTTGATGAGCACAGGACATCTGGCGCAGGGTTCGCGAAAGCTGTGTCTCAGCCCTGTGAAAGCTGTATTGAAACGATGGGATGCGGCTTTCGGCACTCTCATCTAGTCTACATCTCTGGCAAAGCGAAGGATGGCAACAGTCAGCGGCAGTTCGTGTGACTGCTGTATTCAAGCGGCTGTGAGGAGTTTGCTCCTGCTGCACTCGCAGCTTCAGCCAGTTGAACAGCTCGCTTCATCTCATCTTCCTGAAAGTAGTCATGGATCTTCTTCGCCAGGTCCTCATCACAACTTTATGTACCCAAGCTTGCGTGGTGCAAGCCCTGCCTCCAGCTCGTCTAGGTTGGGATTTTCGACCATGCTTCCTGGCATTCAACTGTCGGGCACGAGCGTCCATGGGGACTTTTCGCCAAGGCTATGCATGCCTGTTGGATTGGATGCTAAGGACAGCTCGGTGGAACTCCATGAATTCGTTTCGGAGAAGCTGGCGCCGGTGTCCGGGGTGGGCCTGCCAAGCCAAGCAATGACGATGCTGTCTTCTACGAGCATTGGCCCAAGTTGCATAGATGACCACCAGAAAAAGCAACTTGTCAACAGGCACAGAGTTCCCTGTCCTGCTCCAGGTACTCATCGAAACCATTCCAAAACCGGTCTGCCTCCAACTTCAAGTCCACCTGACAAGTTCTGCTTGTGTTCAGCGGCTTAATTTCATGGCTTGTCTTCCGATGTGCTGCCTTTCTGCATGCATGCAAAGTACCCCACCTGCAAAACCCAGCCTCTACATCAATCGCACTTTGCTGGCATCGATATCAACAGGTTGCCTGGTAGAACAATGCCTGTACATGCAAACTACGACCAAAGCGAGTGCAGTGATGATAATTAACACAACTCTCGCAGTCGAGCTTAGAAAAGTTGATGGTCGCCGTTTGGCGACTGGGTAAATCACGGCCTCTGCCCTGCGCGAAGTGCGAACAGCTCCACTCATGGAGAGGTGCTTGTTGACCCCGCAAGCTGTCCACACCAAAATCATCAAGGACCTATAATGTCCATTGGCTGGTTTCAATCTTCCAGAAGCTCTGACACTAGGTCCAGAAGCCATGGAGAGGACACGATCGTCAGGTGTTCGTCGTGGCAGCCCGGAGGGGCTCCATGAAGGAAGACAGAGGCACCTTTCTCAACCCATCCAGCTTGTAGCTTCTCAGCGCTGGCTGCCGTGACTGTTCCATCGCCTGGCACATACTGGGATATTTTTGGGATATCCTGAAAGTCTGAAGTTTCGAAAGTGAGCTGGTTGACGGTGTCCAAGTTTCTGCCATAAAGAAAATGCGAAGGGACGGCCGGAGGCTGGAGACTCGACCAGACCTCTTGAGCATAAGGGAAGAAGTCGAAGCGCGCTGCGTCTTTTCCCAAAGCCTTCTCCAGGTCTCCGACAAACTCTTTGATCTCTTTGGCCGTGTAACCGCGCTCTGGTGTCACAACGATCTTGTGATTGGGATCGAAGGCTTCTGTGTCTCCGACGGTGAGCGGAAGCAAGCAGCCCATTGCAGGTGAGGAGATGGTGGCCTTCTTCCAGAAATTTTCGACTCCTTCGGGGAGAGTGCCCAGACCTGAAATGATGCCTATTGGATTATGTGCGTAGGCTGAACATCCCTTCGGGCAACCCATGATGACGGGTGTGATAAAGATGACCTTGTCGAGGTACTTCCGCTGCCATGCGCCGCCCATGGTAGAAAGAACGTAAAGAAGCACGGAACAGCCCATCGAGTGACCAATCAACGTAACAGGCTGCTGCGTTAGCATGAACTCTTCTTCTATCTGTTTTGCCAAAGACTCCGCGTAGCACTCCATGAAGCTCAAGTCCCCCCAGCGTCGCCAGTCGTAACTCGCAGACTGGAGTCGAAAGCGGTCTACGAGCTTCTCGATCAACTCATACAAAACAGGAATCATGACTTCCTCCATTGGGTTGATCGCAGCAACTCCATCTAGGCCAGGATATGGCCGAACCTCAACCCCATCCTGCTCCTTGGTGACGAATACCTCACGGCCACTTTTGAGCTTGCCAGGTATTTGTTCCAGCTCTAAGGTATTTCGCAGAAGCTCGGGGGAGGTCACCACCGCCTCGATCGATGCCCAGGCGGTGTTCCAACCCTCGCTTCTGCAACACGGCAGATAACACCCTGCATCAGTGCCGGGCTTGATCCGATTCTGCAGGGAACAGGCGGCAATCCCGTGGGCCAGGATCACAGTCTTGTTGCCCGACTGGGCCCGCGAGTTGTAGCTCGTATCATAGCAGCATTTCGCGATGAAATGCACGCCGCCCATTGTCCGAGCGGCAATCCTAAACTTTGTTCTAAGACCCGTCCTGCTCAGGTTTGGTGTCTGGATAACCGACAGCACTAGACTTGGAGCACCACTGTGACCACATGTTCACAAATTGTTTTCATGATCAACACCAAAACAGGAAAATCTGGCCCAGGGCCAACACACCAATGGACATGCACAGGATTCCACGGAGCTTCGGGGCGAGGCAACTCCGAGAAGACAAGAATGCTCCTGCCAATCACATGCCATCTCCAGCCTTCACGCCACCGAGCTCAACTTCACGTGACATCACCCGGCTGCTTGCATTTGCCGGCAATAAATCTGTGGGACGACTAGAAAGACTCTGGAGCCACTCGTTTGGAACGCACAATGCAGGGAACCATACATGGGGAATCGAACCTCACGACAATGGCTTCACAGTATAGGCCACATGAGGCCAGGACATAACGGTCGACAACGTGAGGATCGGCAGAATGCCAAGCACTTGTGCAATTTTACTTTTCAGGCTCTGACATCTCCACCTACCGAACCATGACAAGTCCGCACGTTCTTGCGTGTCTCGGCATCAGGTTCCAGATGGAATCTGTTCTGATCTCAAGAACAGCTCCGTCAGACTTGCAGGGGATGGTTTCTGAACTGTGACTTGTCATGCTTCCCTACGGTCGCGCCCGCCGTTTGGCAGCAACACCACGAAAGGCTCCGTGGCAATTTCAACGCCTGGGCCTGACATTCCTGTGTCTCTTGGGATAAGGAGTAAGTGAGCACATATTATACATACTCCTGCAAGGGCGCCGGGCACAACGAAAAGATTGCCGCGAAGTAATGTAAAATTGCTTGCAGACAACACTACGATGGCGCCTCTCAGACTGCCACTCCTGCAGAAGAAGCTGCATGACACAGAATGCATATTGGCATCGAAGACATGATCAGGCAGGTATGTTGCTGAAAAGTGATAGCTGCAACCCGTCCTAGATTCCCTCAATTCTTCTGAGGATCCTCACAGATGCGGCATCGATGCACGGATTTCTGCAGACTGTCGGTGTGCCTCCTTGTCAAAAATGTGCACTCGCACAAAGCCATCCTGTTCCGTTCAACCGGAACTGACATCGAAGCAGCAGCGGAGCAATGCGGAGCATAGAGCCGCTCCCTGCCTCGGAGCCCGAGGCGATGGCCGAGCCGTTGCCGGCAAAGGCCAAGGTGTGGACCTGGCAGCAGCAAAGAGACCCCCCGCGCTCCTTTTCGCGTTGCCCAAGCCAGGAGGACAGGACCAAAGTGACCTTTGTTGGTGACACCATCCGCCTCGCCAGAGGCAACAGCCCAGCGGAGGAAGCGGTGGAGACAAGTTAAAGTTCACAGCCATGCCTTGAGATCACTCGGCAACTTCTCAGCTGCGCCCAGGCGGAAGAGTAGCGTCCCGAACTGTTCGGTGGCACTGCTGCTCCGAGCAACGTCCCGGACGTCCTGGCTTTGCTGCTTTGACAGACTGTCCTTTTTGGTCTCCTTTGACCCTTCCTATGCGATCCTGGCCACCAGCGGCGACCACGCAAATGCACCCTGGACGCTCAGATGGAGCCTCAGTCGGAGGCCGACTGTGCGCAACTCTTCTCCATAACTCGGAGTCAGAGAGGACAGAGGTCGTTTGCCGAGGTCGGCCGAGGTCGCGGCGCCGAGGGCTTGCTTCTGCGACAGCGGGCCCAGGGCCACGGCATTCAGCGGCCGATCCTCCGCCCGCCCCGATCGCCCAGAGAAAAAAGGAAGGGTTTTCGAGTTTCTTCGTCCATAGTTCGAGCGCTGGGCTTCCGGCCGTCTGCGCCTTGTACAACATCCTCCACTCGGTTCCTGCAGGGACTTCTCGAGAGCACAGAAGATGCTTACCACCAGGTGCCCTGGCCTTTTCCGATGTCCCATATGCAGACACTCATGTCCTCAGCTTCTAGAAGAGCGGATATGTGACTCTGCTCACACTCCTAGGTGGAGCTTTCTGCGTCGCAGATGCAAGCTGCTGCTTGCTGTGGGCAGTGCTGGAAAGAAAGAGAGACATTCTACTGAGGACTACACGTGCGAGACGGTAGCCACAAGCTCGCGGTCATCATTGAAGTCAAACTTCGAAATGCCAGCGTCGTGAGCCTGTGAGGACGTGGGCATGGGGAATGAGAGTCCACGACAGTCCAACTTTTTGCCTGCGTCAAACAACGACACTAAGCCACTAAGAGTGTGCCTGCATAGAAGGTTCCAAAGTCTGCACTGAGGCCTTCAGCCGCTTCACTTCAGCGCCAGTGTCTGCTCGCCAAAAAATCAGCTCGCCTGGCAATCCACTGTCTGCGTGCATGTTCCACAAGATGCGGCGCTGTCGCGAAGCAACTGTGGCAGAGATTCCACTGCAAACTAAACTCACGGACACTGGGAGGATGACCACTGTCGTGTGCGCTTGCAATGAAGTAGTTGGCCCTGCCCCATCTCACCTCGCAGGGGCATCCGAAAAAGTAACAAGTTGCTCTGGCAAAAAAAAGAAAGAACGTTGAAGCGGCTGGTAAGAAACGCGAGCAAGACTACAAGTCGCTAGTTTGGCTCAGAACCGAGATCCACCACAAGAGCAATGCTGGAACTCTGCTGAGGCTCCAATGGCAGGTGTTCTCACCCTTCTCGCCAACACATTCATTCGCAGTTGGCTCTGGACTACCGCGAAAGGCATCTCTGAAAAGAAACACCCTCCCCCTCTACTGCAGAGTGAAGCTCTTGGCACCTGGAGGGCTGCCGAAGGCAGCTTGGAGATAACACGAAGCTCCTGGCCAGAGAGGCAGTGTTCACTGGGAGATAGTAGCTTCGAGCGAGGCCTGGATGGATTTGCCATCGAAGCGCCAAACCTCGAGTAGCAAACCCCACGAGATAAACAGCCATGGTGGCTTCAGCTTGCTTTTTCAAAAACTTCCTAAGGACGCGGCGGTCAATGCAGGGGGATGTGCACCAAAGCGATTGTGCGCAGTCCTTGGCCACACAGCATAAAGTGCATCAGAAAGGTTTCGGAAGATGTGGCTCCAAAGCCGGTGCTAGAATGGTTCCAGCGAGTAAGGCAAGGGCACAAAGCGCTCACTGACGTCCGAGGCATTCACACCAGGAGCTGCAAAAGGACAGGATTGCTCAGATTCAATGCGGAACGTCTCCTACATAGCCCTTAGCGCAAACAGTTCCTGAAATCACGTGCGGAGGCCGACGAGCCTGCTCCTGCCCATTCTACACATCGCACAACACCAGGAAGTTCCACGCGGGCAAGCTCCCTTGGCTGGATTGAAAGCCAGAGCTTCACCACAAGCCAGGCCACGCTGTGCAAACAGATCTCACGAGCAGCCCCGTGCGCCTCGAGGTATGAGCCTCCCAGACGATGACCAACCGGTCCGCGCCGCACGTCACAAGCCACCTGCAAAAGGAAGCCCTACTTTAGCAGTAGCAACCTTTCAGCGAGGATGTGCGAAGAAAGGAAGGAGTGTTGCAGCACTCTTTCTCCAACTGCACGTCAGCGAGAGCTCGCGCAAACCGACACCCTTGCCGATCCGCTGAGGCTTTGCTTCTCAACCTCGTGTGCCGGTGCTCGAACATCATTGCATATCCCCAGGTGGTGCAGACCAGGTGCTGGACTGTCAAACTGCTGACCCGACTCTGCACCGCTTCTGTTGCGGCTGACAGCAGCCTGTGATCACAGTGCTGCAACTGAGCATAGGACCACAGGGTGTTCGACAAGTCTTGGGGCTTGAAAAGTTCAAGTCTGGCCACGGCGTACTCAGAAAAACAATGCAAGAGCCGATGATCGTGATGACCTGTCTCCGCCATGGCCCAGACACAGTTCACAGCCGCCTGGATACTGAACTCTCTTAGCCTCTCCGAAACGTGGCTCGCTGATGCCAAAAATAACTCTGGCTCATAGCATCGCGCCTTTGCAAATGCCCAAAGCGAGTTAGAGATGTTCTGTGGCGAAAACTCTCCCAAGCTGCCCGTCGTGGTCTCTGCCATGGCTGTATACACCGCATGGTCAGCACGAAGCCGAAGCTTGGCAAAGGCCCAGACTGTGTTGGCCAAACCTTGTGGCGTGAATCCTGGTACAGCGGTTCTCGAAAACTCTGCTATCTTGTTGAGTTGCAGCTTCGGATTCCGTACCTCAGCTGTTGCGAAGGCCCAGATGATGTTGGCCAGCCCTCGTGGTTGGAATTCGGGAAGGGACTTGGTCACAGCCTCGGCCAGAATCTCGAAGAGTCCTTCGTCTTTGGAAGACTTCGCAAAGGCCCACGTAGCCTTGGCGAGCTCCAGAGGTGCCAGCTCACCAATCCGGGGGCTCAGTGTCTGCGTCAAGGCTCGTAGCAATCCTCCAAGAGACAGAGAGCAACAAACAGAATTCGCAGAAAGGCTTCGCAATGCTTCGCAGCAGGTCTGTCCTTCGTCACGATGTTGCAGCTTCGCCATGGACCATGCGAGGTCAGCTAAGCCACGTGGATCGAAAAGGCCAAGGTTTTCCTGAACCCCTGCAGACAGGATCTCCAAGATCTCCGGCTGCAAGCACCTCCAAATTCCGACTCCGTCTTCAACCACTGCAGGATCTCAGCCCTTCCCGCCTCGCCCGGGCGAATTTCCAAGGTAGCTTCGTGAGCCACTGCACTGGCAGCTCGTCACCTAGGGAAAACTACTGACGAATGTTGTTGCTGACTATCGTGTTCATCGTAAATATTGTCGGTATCGTTGTTGCTGTGGTCATCATTATGGCCATCATGTGTACCTATGCATTTCCCATAAGTGGCCAGCTTCACAGGAAGTATTGCCATGATCATGTGCAGCTGATGACTCTTACGATTAGAGCAACGACGTATTGGTTGGTTTGTGCCTGAAGACCGTGCGGATACTCCGCGCTCCCCATCTGAGGCAAGGTGCATGTTTTGCGCTCAGCGGGCCCCTGATTTACAGAGTCCCGCTCGGGCCCCGTCCACCGGAGACCGCGTCATTGTTGATTCCAACACCGCCAGTACATTACCGTTGTTTTTGCGTTTGAAAGGCTCGAAATGTCCAAAGTCCAGGCAGGGCGCGCCATCCGGCCTCTCGCGACCTCAAAATCCGCAGTTACATTCCCGCACCTGCATTTCGCCTCCGAAATCGCACTCCGGCCAAAGTGCGGTGCACAGTTGGCTTGCGCTTCGTGCTGCGGCGTTGCCCTCTATGGCTCCTCCGTGTGGCCCACGCCAAGCAAAGCAGGGAACGATTTTGGAGTAGTTGTCCTCACAACGCTGGAAGTTCCTGAAGACCACACTATGAGGCTCCTCGTCGCTGTGGTCCTTGGGTTGCTATTGATCCTGGTCGGATTGGTCGTCTTTTTTTCTCTTGGTCTTGTGGTCGTCCTGCACCTGAATTTGGCAGCAGAACCAGTAGAATGCTTACCAGCAACAGTGACTGCGTGTTGTTTTTACTGCTGCTATTACTACTGCTGACTACTATACTTCTTCAGCTAAAGCTACTGCTACTCCCACTCCTGCTGCTCCTACTTACGACCTCGAGGACGACGACGACGACGACGACTACTACTACTACTACTACCACCGCTACTACCACTACCGCTACCACTGCCACTACCAGTACCACTACCACGACCACTACCACTACCACTACCGCTACTACTACCAGTACGACTGCAACTACTACTATTGGCGACTGCTGCTATTGCCGCTGCTACTGCCAGCCACTGCCAGCGCTACCGCCACAGCCACTGCTACGTACTCATTGGCTTGCGTAGTGGAAGTCTCAGTACTTGCAAGGATTCTTCTTAGTTTTGTCGCCTTGTGAAACCGTCTTTCCCTGCTCTCGGCTGCCCGGGCACAGCCGCGCAGCGCCGTCGAAACATCACACCACATCTTTGGATCCTGTACCTTTGCGCTGGCCATGGTGGAGGCCAAAACCATTGCCTCCCGTGCACTGACAACATGCACGAATCGGGACCACCTGTGTAAGAATGAATACCGCGAACATCAAAACATCCACAATTCTGACCACAACTTCGCACCCACCACTGTCATTGATGATGCTAATAAGCAAGAGAAAAGGAGACAGAGACAGAGAGAGAAAGGGAGACAGAGCAGCTCTTAGCAATATTGCCAACATGTCAACATCAGTCACTGTTAGGGTCCCGCAGGTTCATTAGAAAGGTTCTGGCACAAGACAGTGTGGATCGTCCCTTTAGTTTCTTGCGCCGCCATGGCACCAGCTTCCTTCGCAAGATTGCGCCACTACCTCCCCGCAGTGAGCGCTTTGATGGTCACTATGATCTTCTATCAACATTGCCATCATGACTTCTCCAACGATTGCCAATAATGCCGGCTGATTGCGAGCATCTGCACCAGGCCGTCACATTCAGGTCGATAAAATCCGTTCCACCACTACGATCTGACCAGCAGTTGAGGATGGGCTCTCCCTAACTTTCTCCTACCTGACCTTATATCCTCTATTTGGACGCAAGCTTCCCACACTTATGCTGGAGGTTCTACGTTGGTGTATATGTCATCCTACGCTTTAGCGACGCATCGACGCAGGAGATGGGCGACACTCTATGGTGAACCCACCTGACCATGCTTCCTATGCTTACCTGTTTAGCCAACTCTGGCAGACGGTGGCTCCCAATACGCTGCAGCCGGAAACCTCTGGAACATCCCAACAGACTGTCAGGACTGCAGGCCCGCCCGTACTTTTCGGAGAGGCACGTTGAGCGACGACAACTCCCACTTATCATGCAACCCTTTGATTCCACAATGCTGTCCAGGGGAGCCGACATGAGGCGAACCGGGGACCACGGCCTTCCCATGCTCTATGCCGCTATGCCAATATCGATGGATGTGCTCCATCTTGTATCGGCGAGTGGTCACGAATGCCCCTTGTGCGTCGGGTTCGCTTCATCCGCGACTATAGAAGCCTCCTTTCATATTAAGCTTTTGCCCACGGTGGCCGGAAAATTTACCCTGGTCCTGCCATCGTCTCACCCGAATAGAGTAGCGAAGAGCCCTGTATAGACATGCCCATGGTGTATGTAGATTCCCTGCACTTTTTTCGCATGCCATACGCCGTATGCTTCCGCCGACTTTTAGGTCGTCCCCGCGCATTAGTCCCAGTGAAAGGGCTGCTGACGAGCGGTCTCACCTGTGGACACGCTCTGCGCGACGAGAGAGACAGGTTCATTAGAAGCTAAAATCGACTCATGTTCTGATGAAAACACCTCAACAAGATTTGTCAGAAGATGGTTATCATGCTGTTTACAATGATGCATACACAACATTCAGCTGGCTTGATCGTGTCAGACAGCTTGTTAACTTAATGAGTTGCTGCACGACTACGGAATGCTGCGATTCTGTATTCCCATGGAACACTCAGACTCGTGATAACAACAGACCCGAAACGAAAACTAGTGCAACTGGCCCCAAAATCACCCAGGAACATGGACCGCAGGATCACTTGTCTAGGCCAGTCCATGCGAGCATCCCTTTAGTCAATGCTTGCTTTCATGTGACTGTATATGTGTGTATACATACAGAGAGATCTCGATCTAAACATAGAGATCTCGATCTAAATATAGATATCTATCTGTCTGTATCTATGTATGTTTGCTTGTATGTATGTATGTATGTATGTATGTGTCTGTATCTATAGATATACACACATAGATAAATACATAGATAGATAGATGGATAGATAGATAGATAGGTAGATAGACAAGTAGATAGGTTGATATATAGATAGATAGATAGATAGATAGATAGATAGAGAGAGATAGAGAGATAGATAGATGACACAGATACAGGCATAGACATTGACGTAGATATAGATAAGATACACATACATACATATATGTGTGTATATATATATTTGTGTATATGCATATGTATATATAAATATATAGATAGGTGTAGATTCAAACACAGATACGGACATAGATCTAAAACACAAATGAAGATTTGGATTTAGGTGTAGATTTAGATATAGCTTTAGATTTAAATACAGATATAGATATGAATACAGATACAGGGCCACATATAGACATGGATATATGTATAGACATAGATATAGACGTAGACATAGATATAGAAGTAGATACACATATAGGTGTAGGTATAGGTATAGGTAGGTATATAGGTTTAGATACACATACAGATACAAATCTAGATACAGTATAGAGAGTATAGAACTAGACATAGATGAATACATATGTATGTGCATATGTAATATGTGTGTATATATATATATGTGTGTGTGTGTGTTTGTTTGTGTGCGTGTGTGTGTGTGTGTGTTTGGTTTATACATAAACATGCCTGCGCACATACATACATTCATATATACATATGTGTGTATGTAGACGGCTCACAAGCATAAGAAACAAGGCATGGGACCGTGCTTGGGTGGGGTGGCCTTTTGAAGACTGCAGAGACTACTCAATCTGCCCATTTCTTCTAACCGTACAACACAGTGATGTTGTTTATTGACCTTGCTGATAGCACTTGCAATCGTCCTGCCTCGTCTGCTGCAAGGACTGGACCATTCAGCTGATCTCTCAATGCCTGCAGAAGGTCCTCAAGTGCAGAAGGTCCTCAAGTCATCCAACAGCTGCAGAAGAAGCAGAAGCCAGGTCCCGGAATCAGTTTTCGAGAGTTAGTCTGAGCTATTCTGGCCGGGATGCCGGACGCGCTCCTTGTGTCCGAATCTTGAGAAGCAGCTCGGCAAGCGGCGTGGCCCTGACAGCTGGAGACATCTGGTATGCACACGAGGCCAGTGGTGGCCACCGTCCTGCGCACAGTTCGAGCCATTCAAGGCTTTTCTTTACACTGCATCTGCCTGCAAGTCGCACCTGGATCGCAACACAACCATTCGCAAGCACGGCACTGCCGTCTGCGCTCGCATCGGTTGCATCGTGTCAAGATGTGTTGAAGTAAGCCAGTCGGGCCAATTAATTGATTGTTCCCGCTGAATCTAGAATCTAGTTGTGCGTTTGGAGGCTGCGCTTCTTTTCAAACAAAGAGTGACGCATGACGTTGTTCTGCTTGAGCCAATGCACAATGGTCAGTGTGACAAGTTCATCTCATGCTCAACTCAAAATGCTTCTGCTGAGAGGTCTGTAACATTCAAGGGATTCCAGCGCACGGGTCCTAAGCTGAGTATCACCGGCCTGGAGTCAAACGTAGCACTGCAGGACCACACCTGGCATGTCCGAGCAGAAGCACTTCGTAGAGCCTTGCCGAGACAGTGCCAGGCTGGCGGCTCCGTTGTGGCCGCGGTAGCTACCAAGAAGCTCTCCATCCGGAAAGCTCCACACGCAAACGAGCTTGTCCTGAGGTGTGCAGAACACGGATGCACACAGAATCTGACGCGACACACTCATGATCGCAACACGAAGTCTGCGCTTGTGTACAAGCACTCAACCCCGAGAAGAGAGAGGCAACTACAGCAGACTCACCATTAATATTTTTTCTGCGGTGAGTGTTTTCGCCTGACTGGCTTGTAGAACCTTGTACCGAAAAAGTATGCACTGTGCTGTGCCGCTTCCTTACACATACAAGTCGGCAACCATAGTTCACAAACGCACACACCAGGTGCATGTGAACATGTCTCGGATTGTTTAAAACAAAACGGTCCTTGCCACAGGAGAACAGAAGATTGTTCTCGTGGTTGAATGTGATGAAAGTCACCTGAGGAAGCCATGCGATTGGTTGTCAGCCCGCTCTTGCGGCATGATGTTCGTGCATCTGTGCACCCCAAACATCTGCTTCATTTCAACCCCCGGGTGCACGGAAAGACGGTTCTTCTGAAGGATGCATGACTTTACAACTCTAGGGTCAAGATGAAATTATCTTTGCTTGCCCAACTTTCCTGTGTGGTCGGGCCGATGCCAACGTCATGAAATCAAAAACTGAAGCCCTCAGCGGGTCAAGGCAAAGCTGCGAATCTCGTCAGGTGGTGATCTGCAGTAAGAGGACAGTGAGAGATCATATCACCATGTAAATTGCAAGAAGCTCAGCTGCTGTGAGACATCCCTAGGCTGGTTGCATCAACACACGATCTTCGCAAAAACTCCGCAGTACAGTGCTCCCACAGTCAACCGAGCATCCAGCCGGCCGTTCATGCCCACGCAGTGTGGGACCTTGAGCATCGTGCCTCGGTTTTTCGTGCACGGGAGAGCAGGCAATTACGAGATCGTTGTAGGCATGCGACAGCAGCGGCTGCATGTCTCATCGCATGACTTAATGACCCCGACACAAGAGAACAAGCCGAACCGTCGGAAGTCCAAAGCACGCAGTGCCACGAGAGGCTGAAGCCAGGTACAGAAGCAAGCGACGACGAAGTGCTAGTACCAGAAGCTTCAAGACGAGACCAGATAAGCTTCAAGACTTTAGAAGACAACCGGTCGCTCCGTCAACAGAGGCGGGATGAGGTGGCGACCCTGGCTTATTGACAGTCACAGCTGGTCGCTCGGTCATGCCCGGATCGGCATCGCCCTTAGAGGAAGGAACAGACACAATCAAATGATGCTCTGACAGATGCGGTCGAAACTCAAGGACCCTGCTTGCGATCGCTGTCTGAGATCCAGCGGCTCGCCACTTTTGCGTGGCTGCCACATCTCTTTCGGCTTGGAGACCTGCACCATCACAACTCGGCCAATGAGCTCTGGTTGACGATGTACTTGGCCTTCTCTATGATGGAATCGAAGTCAGCTGCATCCGTGCCGGAAGCAACTCCTTTTCTTTGCCGGGGTGCCGTCGCGTACCTGTGCGAAGTCACGCAAGCCAAATGCGGTTTTCCTCCTCTCAGTTCGATGGTCGCACGGATCGCGTCCTCAGTGTAGAAGCACGATCAGGTGAAATGTGACAAGGCTTGTCGGAATGTTATGCGGCTGAGCGTACGGCTAGGCTGCAACCGCGAGACTGGACGACTAGTGCCCCGAGACCTGCCAAGAGTTGAGAACAAACTGCCAAGACCGGCTGGCATGGTCTAGGAGTGCTTCGAAGGACAAGGCAGAGAAGCCAGAGCCTGAGACCATTGGATCGTGCTCGCGAATCTGATAGTTCCGACTCATTCTCCTCCTCCTCTTCTTCTGCTTCCTGACCAGACAATGTCGTGTTCATGAACAGGCTAATCTCTGCAAGACGCATTCCGTCCATACAAGGCCTGCTCTGATCTTTGCCGTACCAACCTGAAGTTGAATCTGACTCGTCGAATGCAGCAAGCACTTCTTGGTCCAATACACAAATTGAAACTTGTCAGCAAAGACACGATTCAGTCATGAGGGTGCGATATCAGCGTCTTACCGACCATGGCAATGAAATAACGGCATGCACTAGCTTCCTTGCATGCAAACTTTCCCCACAAAGTTTCTGGCCAAGCCAGAAAGAGCACGAGCACTACTCGCAGGAGCCATCGGATCACGGTGGTCACCTGCAACTCTTCTTTATGTCTCACACACACACACACGAAACTTGTCCAAACAACGGCCACACACGCCGCAGTCTGTCGAGGACGGAATGAATCTCTTGAATGTGTTCAGCCCCTGGTCGGTTCGCTCCTCTGGCTTCTGGAAGTCAAACCCGAGCATGTCAACCTCGTGCATACTCACCGCTGCTGCTGCATTCTTATGCACACAGTGACATGCAAGCGATGTCGGTTCACTGTGTAGCAAATTGATACACAACATCAAAGAGACATGCCTTAAGCCTACACGTCAGAAGAAGCGGTTGCCGATGCAAGCATACAACCAAATGCCACATACACATCGCGGAATCGTACAATACTGCGGCAAAAGTTGGTTTTGGACATACGCAACGCATCTTCACGGCTCGCACGCCGGCAGCGAAGACATGGATGATAAACTTCTTAAACCAATGCAGCCCCAGCGCTTGAAGACATGGCCGAACAGGACATGATGTTGCAGCTGTCAACTATACAATGCAAATTTTGCAGGCTGTCACGAGGAACTAAGAATTGGATCCTCTTGTTCTGGCAACAAAGCATACTTGACCGTCGTCAGCACCTACTTACACTCATGCTTCCACCCAAGCTTGCAGGCGCACGTACTGGTATGTGTACATACCTGTATAGATGTATATGTTTGTGTGTATGTGTGTATATATGCAGGTATGTATGTATGTATGTATGCATGCATGTATGTATGTATGTATGTATGTACCATCACATATGTATCCGTTGTATGTGTATGTTTGTACGCATGTATATATATATATGTACATAAAAAAAGATATGTATGTATGCGTGTATGCAGATTTGTCCGGCATCAAGCTCTACTTCGATGCAAAAGCTGCAGGGCGCAACATTCCATGCCGCAACCACACATTGAAGTTGGCTTGCGTTCTTAAGGACCATGATGAAAGATCCTGCCCAAGAAAGCGGGTTATTGCTGCGTGAAGCGGCATGCCGTTCACGTAAAAACTGTTCAAACCATTGTTTGAGCCCCTCCTTCCCTTCCTCTTTGAGGCCAGTGCTCCCACTCCTGATCGTGAAACTGGAGGTAAAGGACATCAATCATGCACTCGCCATCAGCATCCTAATCGCAGAGTGCAGCCTTTCGCCCTCGCAAAAGCATGTCCGTCAAATAGCAGGACACTCAAACACAGAGCTGGCCACTGCTGGCATCTTCTTGAAGGTTTGCCACAGCACTGCCCGTAAGGAAAGGAGGACGGATCAAGTGCCGGGGTTACCGTGGTAGTTGCCGACATGTCATATCCATGATTTCATTGGGCTTTGGAACAGCATTCGCTCTGCTGAATCCGGTCAAGACAACTACCATCAGCATCATAACTCCACGGAACTGGTCCTCGGTAGTACTAGACACGAGCATGTTGAATTTTTTTTTGATTGTGAACCATTTGCAAAAAACCCGAAATCCAAACTGATTACAGGCAATTCGAGTTGCAGCATGGCGAGCGAAGCTTCCAAGTCATCATCTCCGAGCACTTGAAATAGGTAGGGAAGAAAGATGTCGCGACACCGTGATTTGTGAGCCTCGGCAAATACATTCAGACTGCTCATCATCCCACGGGAATTATCATTGTTACACGGTTCTGTAATGATCGTGTTGCACGTCGTCAAGTCCACCATGGTTCCCACCACGTCCTCACAAGTCGGACAATGGGCGACAAGGGTAACAGCCGAGGAAAAGCAAGCTCCCGGTCCACAGTCATAAGTCTGCCGAGTCGTCGCTAACATTCCCAGCGCACGGCTGTGTTCCGCCGGCGGTCTTGCCAGTCTACAACTAGAAAGTTGTGGCGGCCGCAGCCACTTGCGTGGTGGCCCTTCCTGAACCCCTTCGGTGGGAGCTGTCGTTGCAGTACCACGTCCAGCGGTTGCCGGACCAGCGGTGCATCATTACCCATGACCCCCTTAATAATAGCAGAAGAAGGCCCGTGGGACTATTTTTGAAAGGCGGAAAAACGGC